GATTTCCGAGATTTGAACGTCGGAAAACTACTGTCCCTTAAATTAGTGAGTAATGGCAAATGTTACATGTTTTTTTTAGTAAAATTAAGGAGGACATCCTTAACAAAAATAAATTATTTTGTAACTTGTAGATATACATAGCTCTACTTTCGATATAATGTTGGAGTTTGTCAGGAATATTTTACTCGTTCTTTTTTCTTTCAAAATACTCCAAATTTGGTAGAATCTTTCAAAACTACAGTATTGAGGTATTTGTATACCTTTAAAAGTTCAGAAGTACGATATGTTGTTGTTACTACCTGAAAAAGTACATATGAAGAGTTTATACCATATATTTTAGTTAAGATTGAAAATGACCTTAGTTTTAAATAATATCAGGTAAATTTTGCCCTATCCATATGAAAGATAAGGGAATCCATTTTCCTTGATCGGTCATTAATGGTACAGGTCTTAAAACATTTGTCAGGGTCCAGAACCGACCGCACTTGCAGTTGGACAAAGTGGAGCTATACCTTTAATAGTAATTGGTACAAGAACAGGTGCTATACATCTTTATGCGGAAGAACTGTTTGGACTTAGACACCAAAGTGTACATCGAGAAGGGCAGACATCTCAAATCTGGAATGTCTTATATGACGCTAATCAAGCTGGTGACGCCATTATAACAGACATCGGGTATATATATTTTTACATATATTATCAATTTTGATAGCATTGTTTTTTATTTGCAACTCTGTGCTATTTACGGAATCAGATAGTCATTTCTATTACTGTTCTAAATATACAGCCATAGCATTTAAAGTTGCAAACGAGTAATAATAAATCATACCAACGAACACATCGACAAAAAACCTGATTATAAGTGTGTGTTTGATTTTTGATCGTATGTCGCTGTAACTAACAATTGTATATGGTAAAGCTCTAAATCGTCCGAGTCTAGACAAATCGTGAATCAATAAAACAAAGACCACAAAAAACATCTAACATCAAAACCAAATAGATTTATTACACATATCAATATTGTATTTGATTTATATATGCTCGTCTTGTTTATGGTTAAAAAAGTGTTACTTAAAAACATTGTTTAACATTAAAACATGCCATTTAAGGGTTATCCTGAAATTATATATTTTTTTACTATGCAGAATCATAAACGCAAGTGAGTCCCCGAATGGAAAGGTATTGGTATGGGTAATTGGTTCAGCGACAGGTTCGCTTGGAATATATGAAGTTGCCTTTCTACGGAAATAAAATATGTGTAAAATTACCTGGTTCTACAATCCCAATATCTATTTAATTCAACCCTGCGACAAGCAGGCATTCAATGTTTTAACAATGTGAATAAGATTACATAGCATCCGTCTCATCATTATAAATGTTATCAAAAGACTCATTTAATTCTCAGATACAGAATTATTTACTTTTAAAGCTACAGCCTGCGTGTTTGCCTTGAGTGCGGGAGGTCGTGCATTCGAACCCCAGCCGGGTCAAACCAAAGACTTTAAAATTAGCCTTTGCTGCTTCTCCGCTTATAAAACGGCATTAAGAAGTAAGAACAAAGACTTGTCGGTCAGTTTCAGAATAATCTGTCCGGGTACGGTGACAGGTCTTCCTGTGGACTGTTATCTTGTGAACTAGCACCTTGAAAATCCGGCTCAGAGTGTCTGTCTAGCACAAAGCAGGGGTAATATTCATATAACATTAATATTTTCTGGTCCTCAATATGCATTTAATTTTCCGCTGGACGTTTTGGGAAATGTTTTGTTCTGAATAGTTTTCAACTTCGATATTGCTTTTGCATTCCGACTGATTTGAATCGAGTCCCCTTATTATTCGTATCTAGACGAATGGCATACTAAATCAAAAGCCTTGCATTTTAATGATTATTTACAACAACTGGGTCGATACCAAAGCTGTGGGAAGTTTCGTCTTCGGGAGTACCAGCTCGGTAGTCAGTACTCCTTGATGAATTAATATCTTTGATGTGGTCATTTTCTGAAAATTGATTCTTCATAAAATGTTTAAAATTATTCGAAACACTATGCGTGTTTTTCTCCATGGCATAGATGGCCTTATACCATGTGCTGCCTAAAAAAAGGAGTTTGAACTATTCTCGTGTATTCTTGTTCACCTCAGATTTTGTTTACGCTCATATTGCTCAATCTTCAGTTATTTTGTGTAGTTTTCTGTCAACTGTTGTTTGTCTTTTTTTATCCATGGTGTTGTATGTCTATCTTCGACTTGTTGGTTTTCATTGAACCTTTGGAATCTTAGTCCTTCCTTTCAAGGGAGACTGTACGTTAAGCAACGAACAACCAATCATCCATCCCAGGGAGAATCAAAAGTCGCAAGTCAAAGAAGGTTATATAACCTCATGGTCAAAAGGACGAACTGGGAAACAAAACCCCATAAAACATGAAACATGAAAATATTAAATGAAGAACACACACTTTGTTCTTGAAAGCGTGTGCATTTCTTGTTCAACTAGTGATACACGATCTGTTGATTTCTAAATACGACTGATTGCCTGCTCATGACATGACCAAAATCTAATAATAGGTTGCATTCAGTGGTCATGTCAAGTATGATGAAAAGTGGGTGGTTTGTAGGCCAAATAAACATATAAGTGATATTTTGTGACACTGGTATACTGAAAGTTAACATAGTCACGATGACGACCGTAATTGAATTCCCACAAGAACGAACGCAATATTATAAGACGTTCCACTGTGTATTATGTTTTTAGCTTGTTAGCACAATTACGTTTTCGACTTTTAAATGAACAGGTCAACCTTTGTATGCTGTAAGTTTCAGTGGTTGCGCATTTTATTGTGTATGGTGTATTGTGTACGTACGGTTCTGTTTGGATTTTGTGGTACTTCTGATATGCCGAATAATCGTTTGGTCTAACATATATTTGTAGATTAATATCACGAGAATGAATTCCAATGTATATGTATTTAGATTAGGATCCTTTGATGGATTTGGCTATTTTTTTAGGTTCTTTTTGGTCATATAGCTCTTCAACTGTTTCGATTTTTATTCATCCTTGGCTTTCAAACATTCGGCTTTGAGCGTTCCTGATGAAGGTAAATCCAGAAAAACGCTTCGGGGGCACAAATTTATAACGCGTCGTTTTCGTTTTTTTCTTTTTCAAACCCTTAACTAATGGAAAAGAAAGAAATCCGAAATACATGACTCAATTGACAAAAATAAAATCCATTTTAATGATATATATACTTAATTTTAAATGTTTCCTTATTTCATATGAATTATAGTACAGTTTGAAAACCAACTCGTATCAATTTATAAGGTTGTTAGTTCATATATAATAATTTACACCTAACTGACCTTATGCCAAATCTTGCATACGATGATTTTCGTGATGTCTTCAGACCGGTCATTCCTGATTATCAGATAACATTTGAAATTTGGTCACTTGTTGCGGCTATTCTGTTGATCCAAAGGTTGTTACTGGAGACAAGTAAGTAGCCTGTTATAAGTACTAGTATGCAGACAGTGTGTACCATTTATTTAATAAATAAAAAAAAAAGGATTTCATTTCTTGACTATTTTTGTTAAATATAAGATATCAGAGTTGAATATTAAAATGTTATTTTAATAAAACAATTTATGTAAGAAATCTTTATAGAGATATTTTTTCTATGTAACTCCTCTGTTACTTTTTTAAGAACTGTGATACACGACAGCTTAGTTGTAACAGATATAACACGTTGTAGAATAGTTATAAACAAGTCAAGTGTGTGTCTACGGATTTATGTTTGATCAACCTGAGACTCAAACGTTGCCTCGGTCAGCATTGCCGTATGGTTTTAATTAACATCTTTAAAAGCTCACGTGGACCATTTTTAACCAATGTAACAACAGAAACATTTTGTTATTTATGTATAACCATGATTTTAGGATGTTTTGTCAATTTACTCAGTTCTTTTTACTATTTTTTATGCTTTATCTCTTACGTGCTTTTCATTTATGACTTTTTTCCTTTTATGACTTCGGTAGGAAATTTGAAACGAGTGGGTTAATACTACTAAAAAACTACTGAAATATTTTATTATTTTGGCAAACAAGTAAGGATTTTCATAAAGATATTAAATTTCTCAAATCAATGGAGAGGATTAAAATATTCTTCCAGTAGATAATAATGTGTCCACAAAGAACGCGTGGCTTTATTCGTTTTTATTTTAAACTGTCCTTTGAAAGGGTATATTTTCTCAGTTTTAAAATTGTGAAAAAGGAAAGTTACTTTGTTATTATTATTACTTTTTTACACTATCTTGATTTGAGAAAAAATATCTAAATTAGCAAAAGCTTGCATTTTATTCAATTTATACGAATTATGAAAAGAGTCTCCCATTTGTCATTCTTAAAGGCCTTAAACAGATTTGGTTTTATAGTTATAGGACAGAAAACCGATAAATGTTGACGAAGAAAAATATCAAAACATTGGACTCTGATGACCATATGGTTTGCCTAATCAGAACGAAGTAAAGAACGCTATATAATGTGAATAATTAAGATATTGGGTAAACGTCAATGAGATAACATTGCAACGTCACATACACACATAAAATGTCATCTAGAGGTCAACATACAGTCAACATTGATGAGCAAGCGTTCAAACCTCATTTGAAATATCCCAGACAATTGGGGAAAAAAATAAAGGCAGTCAAAGATATGATATCAACAGAGGCCACCAATGATATGATATCAACAGAAGTATAAATACTAGTATATAACATCAACAGAGACTTCGGTATATCAGATATCAACCGAGGCTACCAATGATCTAATATTTACAGAGGATTTAAACATCTGATATCAACATAAGCTATGAAAGATCTGATATCAACAAAGGCCATCAAAGATCTGATATAAATCGAGGCTACCAAAAGTTTGATATTAAAATAGGCTACCAAGATTTTATTTCAAATCAAGCTACAGGTAAACTCAATTTGTGACAGTAAGCCTAAGCTTTAAATACAATACAACTATCTCCTTAATATTAACAAAGGCTTCAGAAAATCGGATATCAATAGAGGCTATCGAAAATCGGATATCAACAGAGGCTATCAATGATACTGTACCAACAGAAGCTACGGAAGATCTTATATCAAAAGAGGCTACTGAAGATCGATATCAATGATCTTATACCAGCAGAAGCTATGAAGATCTCGTATCAACAGAGGCTACCGAAGATACGGAAGATCTTCTATTAAAAGAGGTCACTAAAGATAGGATATCAACAGTGGCTATGGAAGATCTTATATCAACAGAGGCTACTGAAGATCGGATATCAACAGAGGCTACTGAAGATCGGATATCAACAGAGGCTATCGATGATCTTATACCAGAAAAGGCTACGAAGTTTCATATCAACAGAGGCTACCGAAGATACGATATCAACAAAGGCTACGAAAGATCTTATATTAAAAAGAGGTTACTAAAGATTGATTTAAATACAATATTTTTATAGAATTAAGATTGACAACTTCTTTTTAAGTTTGTCCCGGTACATACATATTAAATTGTATTTTGTTAGTTTATTTGGCATCAATTCAATATTGCAACCTGTTTTTATTTCAATTTTAGATAGTTCGGTAGATGTAAATTTGATGTAATATTTGTTAATATCTGAATGAATTTTATTCTGCAGAAAATGAAGGCTTTAATACTGATCGTTTTGCACATAGCAGCAGTGCTCTGTCAGTTCAAACTGAATAAATTAAGTTATACGAAGCTGCCGTACACAACTAACAATAAGTTTGGTTTGCTTAGAAATGCTGCTCACCAGGCTGCTTATCATGCACAAGAACGTCTGCTCTATGTTTTAGGTAAATTTTTATTAGATATTTTTTTAGTTGAGCAACCAAGCACTGCATACTAACACAAAGTATATACACGACCTTCAACAAAAGGCATGTATAATAACCTAATGACAAGCTTTAAATCCCCTTGAATCTAGGTCAGACGTTTATTAATTATATTATCCTACAGATTTACAATCCTGTTTTTATTTATCAAATTGAACGTAATGAATCATGATCGAAACATAAGATAACCTACTATTATCGGTGGCTACAAGACACTTCCTGTGTAAAAAGATACTTTACATTAGACGGCTATACTTTCGGTCCATTTCAGGTGACTTGATCGAGATCACATGCTTTCAGCTCTATTTCAAAAGACAATATGGCTCTATTGCGTACCAAATTGACTTTATAATCATTTACACATTTATCTTAACATTTCAGGAGCGATAACTACTATAAAAAGGCCTCATCTCCGTGTTTTTATATACTATCGCTACAGACCAAATGTAACAAATCTTCATCTCAATATTCCAAACATTTTGCACCGATAGCGGAGTAGTGGTAACATTAAAAGTCAAAATGTAGAAAACGACCTTTGGCCTATACCCCAATTTTCAAGTATTTACCACTAACGGTTTATAAGTAAAACAACAATACATCTTAGTAGGAGGATAACAAAAAATAAAAAATGTAAAAAAAATATTCTTGAAACTTAAATGTTCATATACGCTAGCCACCATCTTTGATAATCCAATAACACCATCCTAATGGAAACAACATGCGATGGACTTTCATAGTAATGACTTGGAGCATGCATGCATGCCCTTTTAAAAACTGTCACTTGTATGACAAACACAACAGTTCAATTTAACCAGGCGTCTTGAAGCCAATGTCCCCGATCGATCAGGTGTGGTCATGTATTTTTACCGATACATCCCTCATCTGTATATATGTGTATATTTCTTCTACATACAACAGAAGGTCTGCAAAAGTGGTGAAATCTACTTTATAAGTCAATGGATATGTTTAAGCATGATTAAAAAATGTTTGCAATTCTCCTGTAGAAATTAAGAGAAATGTATGTGAATTGCAGGCAGTCAAACAGCGTCAAATGAACCACGTCTACTCCATATTATTGATGCAAGCAACCCATCATCTCCATCGGTAATCCACACGCACGAATTTAGTTCAACAGAAAATGGAAGAGCCAATGATATTGCTGTTTGTCCAGATTCAGTTGCTGTATCGTTAGATTCACCACTCGCTACTAAAGAAGGACACGTGGAGATGTTCGTGCCCTTTCGTCGCGGAGACTCACAGCTTGTCCAGATTGGAAGGGAACCAGGTAGTTGTTTGTTCACGCATGAGACTGCTATATATAACCCTAATTTCAGTTTCAGTTTCCAAGGAGAAGAAACGGTTGCAAAACAATTTAGAAAAGCGATTTATACAATCTGACTTTTGTGTTAAATGTTTGATATTACCTGATAGGAAATTACTTAAACAGCTACGTAATGTATGGATATTTTATTTAGTTCAAGCAATGGTTACTACAGACCTTGATTTACAATATTTAATACCTCCACATAATTCAACATGGAGAGTTTGCCTCGTCGATTTCCTTTTCTTCAAAAGAACTTGCCTGAATTCGTCCCACTTACCATCTACCAATGAGCTGTCTGTCTAGTCAAGTTGACAATTCTTTGTGTCGACCTCCAGAATTAATTTATTAGTTATAATTTTATCCATCTGTTGTCACAAATGGCAGGCCATTGCCTAAAATGTTTAAATAAATGATTTTAGAAATCAAACATCCCAAATTTGTCTTTTTAATTGCTAATTTGTTTATTAGATCTCAAGTGAACGTTGGGAAAATGATACTAGTATACCACTGAAAAAAATATTTTCCACATTTTGCTATACGTTTTATTCCAGCTTTTTAAGTTGTTGGTGTTGACTAGATATCGCTTTATTTACATAACTTATGAGGGGTTGGTGGAATTATATGAAATAATTAGAAATGAATGGAGAAAAGGAGAAAAAATAGTTTGAAGAGAAAAAAAAATTTCTCGTCCACCGTTATTTTTGGGTGAATATTCCAGTCCAAAAATATTGGGATATTGTTTGACTACTTTTTTTCTTTCGATCATTATTTCATTATTACTACTATTTTCATTTTCAGTTGGAGTTAACCCTAAAGGACTGGCTTTTACAAGTGACTGTCAAAAACTAGTTATCGCTAACGAGGGTCGCGGTGACTTGGACTCTGTTGCCCAACAGTTTGTTGATCCACCAGGAACGGTTAGCATATTACTGAGAAACGACATTGGTACACCAGCACTGGTTACCATTAATTTTGAGAGATTTTTAGGTGGAAGGTAAATATTTCGAGACAAATATGAATATTATGCATCCATTGTTTTACATTTGATTTAAAGGAGGATGAGCTGTCAAATTCATATTCACCAATTATACTCAGATTCTCATATTTGATTTATAACATACTAAAACGAACATCAAAATTACAAAAAGTTCAAAAGAAACCATTAAAAAAGAACGGAATTCATTATAATATATCAGCATTTCGTGTGTATTATTAAAAGACTCGACGCCATCTAATTAACTATCGCGATGACCCTAAAGGATATCGATGGTCATATGACTGACATTAACATAAATATAAATATAAATACAAATACACAGACAAACACGTGCAATCGTTTTAAGGCGATTTTTCTAGGTCTGTTTGATTTCATGTCATAGATTAAAAAAATAGGTAAATCATCGTTTTCGTAGGCCGACACAGCAAACAAAACGGTTTTATTTTTGAATTGAATGCTTCTTTTTGTAAACTCATTGGGGTGTAAAAGCGTTGACCGAAGTACATTCTAAAAATGTACGCACGGTCAACGCTTTTACAACCCTATGAAATTACCAAAAGAAGCATTCAATACTTATAATTACATTTTTTCGCTATGATCATGAATTAATACGATTACTATCAAGTGTTTCTTTCATTTACCTGTGCATTTTGTTGTGGAAACGTGTGTCATCATGTATGTTTCAATTCATGCAATTCATTTTGAAATGAAGAATGACGCGAGATTTCTGTTAGCCAATCAAAATAACGTATAATAATGAAACATACATCTTATGTAATTATTTCCCAGTGGCTCCCTTGTTTTACATTCTTTGTTTAAAACATGCATAACCCATCTCTAGCTAACAGGTGAAAGTGAAGGTCATATGAACGCAGATTCAATGAGGTTGAATTGTTTTCTTGCAAGCCAATAATATATCAGCGATATTGTTAAGCTTATTTTCACGAAATTGAATCAAACTGACTTCTAATAGCGAAATATTGTTTAAATTTCCGCTTTTATAAAGGTTTGAAACAAAACAAAATCATATTCTAATATTTTGCCTAAGATGTAGCTAATGTTCCTTAAATACGTGTGTATTCTTGGTTTTTCTTAGTTACAACATAACATGTTTCAGGTGTAAACAAATATTTCGACATTTTAAATACATTGCGAGATTTCGAGATCATTACTATGAATAAATTAAATATTTCTGGTGCACACGAAATGTACACGAAATGTACACGTTAATAAACTGTAATAGAAATCAACATAATTAGATAGTTTTGAATATAAAGTTTAGCACAAAAATATTGTGTCACATATGTATAGTTTTCTAAGTTTTCATTCAATAGTTTGATTCAGACGTATTGAAATATCACGAAATCAGAATGACACCTCTAAAAATAACTATCATGACATTATGTGGTAACCGATCAGAGATTGAACCTATATACGAACCGCTGTTGATAATGATATATGAAGCAGACAATATACACCTTCAACAAAAGTAAAAAGTAAAATAACAAAAATACCGAACTCCAGGAAAATTCAAATCGGAAAGTCCCTTATCAAATGGCAAAATCAAAAGCTCAAACACATCAAACGAATGGAAAACAACTGTCATATTCCTGACTTGGTACAGGCATTTCCTTATGTAGTGTGCATATTTAAATATGTAAACGTACATGTAAGTTGGTAGATCATGTTTAATATTTGCAAATCCACGTAAAATAAACATTGCATGCAATTTTATTTTGTGTAAGAGTCTCAAATCTTTAAATATAAATGAACGGATGTTGCAACAAGGCTTTTACTTTTAATTATTTTTAATCTATATACTACTATTATCTATAAATGTGCACTCAATTAATCTGTACACTACTAGTCTCTATAAAAGAGTATTCGGATTTAAATATGTACACTACAATTATCTACAAATGTGCACTCAGGTTTTAAGCTGTACACTACTAGTATCTATAAATGTGCACTCAGGTTTTAATATATATACTACTAGTATCTTCAAATGTGCACTCAGGTTTTAAGGTGTACCTTACCGAATTGTATCTATAAATGTGCACTCACATTTTAATCTGTTCACTACTAGTATCTATAAAAAGTGCACTCGATTTTTATCTTCATTTTGGAATCATAATCCACTTTGTTGAACGTACATAGAATGCATAAAATTAGACAATTAGCTAGTACAATTTTGTTGAGAGAATTTATATCTTGGTAAGATTTTGTTCCACCTGAAATAGGCAATGTCTTCAGCGTTTTCTGTTCCACTACGGAAACCAATCTTGTTCTTAATTTGAAATAAAAATCTATTGAAAAGTCGGTATTCCCAGAATAAATATTATGCCTTCGTCTGCATAGAGGTACATGTATTAGATTTATATATATATATATATATATATATATACTGTATGTAATATAAACTTTTTTTAAAGTTTCAAATACATGTACTTTGAAATGGCATACAATTAATAAGATTTTGTTTATTTTCATTTCAAGCTTGTAAACAACCTTAATTTTAGACCGAAAAATAAATGGATTTTTTATTTTATTTTCTTATTTTGACTACTTATAAATGTAAGATAGAAAAAAATGCGTGAAGCAAGTTCTGCTTATTTTTCCGTCAAATAAAAAAAAGCTGGTCATCTCTATTTGCAACAACATTAATTATCTTATTCCATATCATATAAACAAATCTAAAGCAATGTCATGATTACTTGTTAAAGGGAAGCAGAATATCAGAACAAAGGAGTAAGATGGGTATACCAGGGCAACCATAACGCTGGAGTCATAAACAAAATGTCTGACGACCTAGAGCCTGATCAGGTTACCATTAGCAACGATCAACGATTCGCTTATGTTTCTCTTCCTGTAAGTTTACAATTATATACAGGCGCTTGAACAACGTTGAAAAATAAATGCAAAGCGGCGGTGCATTTAAACTGCTTCAATGATTAGATTGTGTTTGTTTGAGCAAGAACATGATAAGCTGAAATTAAGATAACTGCAACACAAAAATGGTAAAATTGAGGTTCATGCCCAAAATGTTGTGGCTTTTAATAGCTCTTTCATCGAAATATTTGTCCTCGTAAAACAAAACTTATGACAATTGAAATCAAAGTTAACATGTCATTGTGACTCTATATCAGACCAATCCATATCAATCAGAATTCATTATCTTTGTTCAAGACAAGGAAAACATGAAAATGGGTAATTACAACTCAGAAAAAGAGGCAAATACAAAACTAAAGCACAAAATGTCAATTTTATACAAGAAAAGTAATTGCAGTTAGCAATGTATGAACAAATATTAAAAACCATTCATTTATAGTTTTCTGTATGAATCTATTAGCTGAATAACTGATATTAATGCATATGTACGTATACCTGGAAGGTAAAATAAGCAAATTGATTTCGTCAAATATATTCCCATCTTTAATCAATTTGATTTGATTATACTGATGAAATAATCTATGAAGTGAAGTTTTAATGATGTCGAATAGAGTTTTCAAATTTTAAAATGCACCCCACCCCACAAAAAAAGAGAAAACATGTTTGCCTTGTATTGCGCAGATACGTTATTCATTTCAAATCAAAACTAAAAGGCTGTAGAATATATTTTGTTTTTTTTAGGAAAACAATGCAGTTGCGAGAATAGACATTAATTCTTATTCAGTAAATGAAATTTTTGCACTTGGAATAAAGAATTGGACGCTTTATAATACAGACTGCAGTGACCAGGATGGAGGTAAGATTTCAGTTGTTTCTTCATTATATTCCATAACGAGAAATTTAAATGTTGCTTCCTAAGGACAATATGATACGATTAAATATGCAGCATGTATGCTTTACATATATATTCATATCAGATGAACAGAATTTACACTTCACAGACTTTTTGTAATCTCTAGTTGAGCTTGAGCATTGCCAATATGCTAAGGTTAAAATATCAATAGTATATGAGCGATGTGGCAACATTAATTCAGAGAAACCTAAGAGTTTTACTTTAAACAAAATATGCATATTATGAGCATATAAGGTTTTTACTTATGTAAAAAATAAAGAACACATGCAATTTAACAAAAATGGATCAGTATAGACTTTCTATGTTTATAATTGCCAAATACGCTGACGAGTTGTAATAACATCATTGTGTTTCATTTCACAAGGCTCTTATCCACATGTTTCAAAAAATAAACAATCATACATGTACGAGACACGCTTAGTTTAAATTGACACTCAAAGAAAAAAGTGCGTTTTGAGATCAAACATGTCAAAGGCAAATCATCAAAAGAAACAGAAAATCTTATTTCTATATTTGATTAAAATGGTAATCATTAAATAAATATTACAATTATATATAACAAAAATCATAATCAAACAAACAAAAAACAACAGCCACGATTGAAGAGGGGATGAACAATTATTCATGCTTCTACTTTTAGGGGGAAATTTGGTACGCCGTCCAATATATTCAATGTACCAAGCTACAGATATTGATACTGTTATTCTGAATGGCCAAGAATATGTCCTGTCGGCAAATCAAGGAGTCATCAAAAGATATGCCGCAGTGCAAGGCGATACATTTGACGAATCGAGGCGAGCAAGAACAATTGCTAGTGGTTAGTCCTTTCGTGTGTCGATTTTAACAACTGTTGCAGTAAACTGTAGTTGCTGTCTCATCTACCCGAAAGTGCTTTTATTCATAAATTTACCATTACAGCTTCCGAAATTAGCTAATTAAAAAACTGTCTGTTAAAATTTGTTTTTAATAAGTTAGACATAAACAACAAACTTTCTTCGCATTCATGAAAGATGGTATATTATTTCATCATTCCGATAACCTTTTTATGTCTTTCGTGATCTTGGAGAAAAGCCTTGACAAAAATAAATGTAGATTACATAAAAGTCTTTTGGGGGTTAATGCTTGATATTTTCCCGTATATGTCCTGGAAATTTTGCAACAAAAGAATCTCCAAACCTTCAATATTCTTACTCTATGTACTTCATAGCTGAAGGTGTCATTTTGTCTTAAAACGTAACATATTCATACTTTGTATCCCTTTTTGTATGAAGACATTTATGAATGATTATCTCATCATTATATTAGACCACATTGCAGATGAATACGTTTTGTATTTATGTTTTAAGATGGCGAATTTGACGAATCGTCGTGGACGTCTGAAATGTCAACAGCCGTACGCAACAATCAACAACTTGGTAAGAAATAAGTTGTACATGTAACGTTGTTTAATACTTCAATATTTTTACCTTTTCATATATAGCAATTATTATGATGCTTAAAACAGATGTTTCCGCCATTCTCGTCGCAATATCTACGTTAAGCAATAGGCAAGCATTCCTTAATCTTAAATGATTATTTTTAACAAATTAAAACTCACTTTTTTATGTCACCTTCACTGTAAACAATTTACTTAATGTACAGTTTCAATTAAGTATCCCTATATATTAGTTTTCGAGTATCTAGAAAATATATTCGATAAGGAAGTTAGATACATTCATACATTAATATATTTTTGCAGAGTCAAATTGAAAGATCATATTCATTGTCGAAACGTACATCATTTTTTAAAAACACTGCAACAAAGGGTCCGGTCCATCCAGTATTATAAAGCTCCATATTTTGTTTAAATATTTTTATAACGTCTTAACCAACCATGGGTTTTATGGTCATCTCTTTTCTTCAACATTACAGGTAGATGGCAAGTAAGATATAGTGATAACTTCGATTTTATTTCAAGACAAGTTAAGAATGTGATGGGTTATGGAGGACGCAGCATGTCTCTGTGGCAAACTCAAACAATGTCCTTAGCGTTTGATACTGGCGATGAACTAGAAACTCAGGAATTCCAAAATTATCCAACAACATTCAACGGGGAAGCCAACAATGGAAACCAATCTCCATTACAACAAGTAGATCAGCGTTCTGACGATCATGTAAGTTGCATGCCAGCATTGTCATGAAAGTCATTTCATTCATATTTTAATCAATGATTTTTAAAGAAGATCTTATAAATCTTTTCCCGACCATGTGTCATTTATTTTGGGTGTTCTTTTATTATACAAGACAGTTACAAACCCTTGATTGTCTAGATGACCATGTTGAAATCATTTGCTAAACCTACGAAGTTATATTAAACAGGTAAATCAGTTTCCAATATATTAAAAAATAACAGGAATAACAAAAAATTAAAGATGATAGTAGCACAACAGACCGAACCATTCTTGATACATATATAAGTATTGAAATTGTGACATTTAACTCAATACCAAGGATCTGCCATTTTTTTATTGACGTGAAAACAGACACGACAGGTGATGAGGCGAAGCGTCTGGTTTTATATTATAGTGGAGCAGGATAGCATTATGCTTATCATTCCGGAGCACCTGAGATCATCCCTGGTTTTTTGCGGGTTCCTGATGCTCAGTCTTTAGTTTTCTATGTTGTGTTTTGTAAACTGTTGTTTTTTCCTTTTTCTATTTTTTTTATCGTTTTTTGTTTTTTTTTAACATGGCGCTGGCAATTCATTTTCGACTTATGACTTTGAATGTCCCTTCGGTAGATTTCGCCTCTCTTCATCTTCATATAAAATTACGCAGAAAACTTTCCAGTTGACGTACTTTCTTTCATATTTTAATCAGCCACTGTCATACTCCTTTATCCTTTTTTCAGGGCCCAGAGCCCACTGCTGTAGCAAGTGGTCTATATGGAAATAATTTACCAATAGTAGTCGTAGGCACAAGAACTGGGCTCATTCATATGTACAGTGATGATTTGTTGGTGCCTAGACATCAATCTGTACACCGTGAGGGCATGACAACTCAGCCTTGGAATACGCTGTACACCAACGGCCAAGCTGGAGACGCCATTATAACCGACATCGGGTAAGTACATATTATCGTCTGCGTACCAATCCAAATATTGGCTAGATACAAAACTGGTTACCTGTGACCACTAAATTACTAAGGTTTGATGATGCTACAAGTGATACTTCAGAGAATTGTATGATAATGAAAATAAAAATATCACTTGTAGGGTTCGAACAACAAGGAATTGGTCGCTCATTTTGTGGACAATATTAAAATTGATTAAACATTTATTGGAATTCGCATTCATGAAAATAAAAATAAAATACCAATAGGCTTATTTTTCCGTCTATAAAGTAATTTGGAGTCTTTCTGTATCTTAACAAAATCACAACGTTCACTGACGAGTAGACTATTTGGTATGTAAAACGTGCGGACATTGAAGACACCATGTATAACATAAGAGCCAAAACGCATGGTCAGTTATGTATAGAAGTACCGAGTTTCTAGTAAGGAAAAATAATAACTAAATTTTCAAAATTTTTCAAACTAAAACTGCACAGACCTATAGCAACCTCCCATTTTGTATGGCAATCATTCAAACGTGTTGTGGTATATAATTTGGCCTAAACAAAGATTTTTTTGTTCAACCATACAATGGATTTGTTTACTTTTGTTCATTTATTTATTTGTCTTTTTGTAGAATTATAAATGCAAACGAGTCACCAAATGGACAACCTTTAGTATGGGTTATTGGTTCCGCAACAGGATCTGTTGGAATGTATCAAGTTCAGCTTAACAGGAAATAGAACAATTACTACATAGATTAAATATAAACCTCTGAAAATAAAAATTAAAAAAATGATCGATAGATCTATTATTTTAATCTTGCAGAACATCTTTTCTTCGTGTTTGATTCAGTCACCTCTTGCTTAGAACTTAGTCAAAAGGATCGATAGGCCATGCTTTTATGGTATGTAACCACAGCACCTCATAATGTTGGTCAAAGGCACTTTTATTCATATTCATCCTCTACATTTTTATTGAGAACAAATCAGAACTATTACCTAATACTAGGTTCAGCTGCTCTCCGTATTTTTTTTGTAGAAGAGGAGGGGACTACACATAAATCTTTTATTTCTATAAGAACCTGAAATGAACTGACACGGGATACATGCCTCACCTGTATGTTACTTTGAAAGCAGAATGCTAAATGGAAATTAAGATGGCAAAACTTTGACATGTAAACTATGCAAAACATCCAAAGTCAATGAATGGCCAAATGAGATATACTAGTGCTGATACAACTGCATACCGAATATCATTGACTTGGTTACCATAAGTGGTTCATCTTAAATTGACCTGATCACATGTAAACTATGCAAAAAATTCAAAGTCAAAGGACCATGACCGAGGAGGAGAGCCATTTAATCCCCATGAAATATGAGATGTGCTAATGCTGATACCACTGCATACCAAATGTAATTGACTTACCATTAGTGGTCTCCCTTAAACTGAACGATATGAATTACAAACTTTAACATTTAAACAAAGTAAAATTTTCAAGGTCAATAGATCATGATTGGGGGGACAGGGCAATATTCTCCATGGAAATGAGAAGTGCCCATGCTAATTCAAATGCATATAAAATATCATTGACTTATTTACTTTTAGTAGGTCCCCTTTAACCGACCTAATCACAAACTTGAACAAACATTCAAACAGATAGACAAGGGTAAACATGTATGCCCCCTTCTCCTAGAAGTGGGGAAATAACAAACTTTATGCATATGCACAACATATCAGGTGTGCATTTGCTTTCAATATAAACTGGAACAAAATGGCAAATTTCTCAGGTGAGTATTTACATATTGACAAGCTAACATCAGGGGATTTTTTAAGAAATACATGTAATACAGCTAACAAGTATTTTTCACTAAATATAAGAGTATTGCCTTAATTTCTTTATAAACTGAACATCGAACAAAATTTTGATTGAGAACCCTGCAATATAACAACATTGTACTGGCAAATACAGGGAAGTCACAGTACAGAGTAATTGGCAACTAGACAAAGTGATGCCCCCGCACTCCACTCTGAAGTAACTGTATTATAACAAAGTCAATGTAGGACTTTCTTTGAGATATTATTGTGTCTGGGAGACACAAATGATGCCCCCGCAGATGCAAAGTGTTATTTTAAAATACACAAAGTTGAGCATGTGAGCACATAGGTCTATGGTTCACCATAGGAGGAGTTATTCGGAAACGCTATGCACCTCTTATGCAAGTATATACTCCAAAAATGACAAAGTTCAACTATCTCCCAAAAGAGCAAATATTATTAAAAATCAAAACCCTGACCACATGCACACCTTCAATATATGTACAAACAGCCAGCAAAGTGAAAACTTCCTACCATTCAAACTGTAGGAGGAGTTAACTGGAATAGCTATGCACCTCTTATGCAAGTATATACTACAAAAATGACAAAGTTCAACTATCTCCCAAAAGAGCAAATATCAATAAAAATCAAAACCCTGACCACATGCACACCTTCAATATATGTACAAACAGCCAGCAATGTGAAAACTTTCTAGCATTCAAACTGTAGGAGGAGTTATTTAGAATAGCTATATACCCATAATGGGACGGACGGACGGACTGACAGACACACCGAAGGACGGACAGGGGTAAAACAATATGCCCCCCAACTTTCAGTTGTGGGGGCATAAAAAAGGACAATGTTTACAGTGTAAATAGTGTGTTTACTATACAAGGTTACCAATTCAACACTGTCATTAGATCTTTGAATATTATTTTTATTGGTATTAATATTGATTTTGTTATCAGTAAATTAAAAGCAAACTAAATATTATTGTTATATACATATGCACTTTCATGGATCTACAATCTGTCGACTCCTGTAACAGGCATTACACAAGGTCATGTTTTTCTTTGACTGTTTATGACGTCTTTACACTAAATCCATTGGATGTTGGAAGTGTACTGATTGATAATTATTCTTAGATGCATGATTTTTTTTATTAGTTGTTATTGGCTTTGAACTAGCTGTCAGTAACTGTGAGTACTCTCAGATCTGTACTTAGTGTCTTTTTGTTGTTGGGATGTACAAGTACCCGGTCATGTCCATGTGTTATTGTTATATGTATTTCTATTTGTATCCATCTGATGAGTTAAGCCTTTTTCAACTGATTTTTATAGTTCTTTCTTATGTCGTACTGTTACACCACTGTACCAGGTTAGAGGGAGGGTTGGGATCTCGCTAACATGTTTAACCCCGCTACATTCTGTATGTATGTGCCTGTCCCAAGTCAGGAGCCTGTAATTCAGTGGTTGTCGTTTGTTGCTGTGTTACATATTTGTTTTTCGTTCCATTTTTTTGTACATTAATTAGGCCATTAGTTTTCTCAATTGAATTGTTTTACATTTGTGATTTCGGGGCCTTTTATAGCTGACTATGCGGTATGGGCTTTGCTCATAGTTGAAGGCCGTATGGTGACCTATATCTGTTAATTTCTGTGTCATGCGGTCTCTTGTGGAGAGCTTTCTCATTGGCAATCATACCACATCTTCTTTTTTATATATGAATGTTTTTATAACTTAGGCAAATCCTATTATCATAGTTTCTGCTACATTAATGATTTTCTTTTATTAAATAATTTAAAATTTAGTGATGGTACAATGGCTTGTCCAATTTCTTTAAAAACGAGTAAAAAGCTGACACTTCCAACATATGCTCCATGAACTGCACTTTTATTGGGAGAAAAAATTCTTCTTTCAAGGGTTTGAAATACTAGTACGCTTGGTGGGACAAATAAACATGTACTGTTATTGCTAATTTTTCACAATGTTACAATTCATAGTGGGATTCCATCCTTAAAACAAACTTTCAAACGATTTTTTTGTTAGTGACCTTGACCTTTGACCCCAAAATCAGTGGGCTTTTTTTCTTTCCTTATATCTTTGATCTGTATAAGGTTCATTCCAATCAAGCAAGAGAAACTGTTTATCCAATGTTTTCCATTTTAAGTAAGTAAGTAACCTGGGCCTTTGGCTTATGGACCCTAAAATCAATAGGCTTCTTCCCCTTTCCTTAATCGTCCATATGTATATGTTTAATTCAAATTAAGCAAGGAATACACCGAAACACAGAATGACTGGGGACTGACATACAAAGTGATTAAATGAAATTGATATTATATAAACATTCCAAAAGAGGGACAAAAAATTCCAGAGGGACAGTCAAACTCATAGAATAATTGAAAACAAACTGACAACGCCATGGCAAAAAATAAAAAGACAAACAGACAAATAATAGTACAGATGACACAACATAGAAAACCAAAGACTTAGCACCAAAAACTGGGGGTGATCTCAGGTGCTCTGGAAGGGTAAGCGGATCCTGCTCCACATATGGCACCCATCGTGTTGCTTATGATTTTCTGAATTTACCTATATCAGGAATGCTCAAACCATATACTAAATAAATATTTTTCGGGAGCATAATAATGAATTAATTAGATATATTTTTTCATTTCATAATATCATCATTAAATCATGTTTTTATGGATGCTTATAATCCTTCATATGTTAAAACTTTTTTTAAATACAAAAACTGATATTTATCTCCAATCAAGATAACATGGGAACCAAGTCAACTTCCATTTTTGGTCATTTGGAGCTAAAGCTAAAGGTAAAAATGCTTGAGCTAAGGGAATGAAAACTGTAAGGAAAAAATAATTCAGAATTATGTTTGTTAACAATCAATCGTTTTGTGATGTTAAAAAATCATAAATAGGCATCATTTAATGTACTAAACATGGCTGATATATCTCTCAAAATTTTCTTAATTTTTTGTTGTGACCAGGATTACACTTCTTTCACATGTGTATGCCATCATGTATTACTTTAAATTAGATCTTATCCAGATTTACTCCAATTTGTGTACTTGAGTAAAACCAAGAAAACAACATTTGAATCTAAAAATTGTTTATTGCATAACAGAAGAATTTTGTAAAGTCTGATATAAAATTGTGGTGTTTTCAGTAAGGTAGATGTTCCTGAATTCTTCTTCTCTCTCTCTAAAAAAAGAAAATATTGCAGTTATTTTCCATTGTTTTTCAACATGATATAGCAGGTTGTCATTAAAAAGGACAACAAATAAAAATTAAGTGAAGAAATTTATCCTGACCCAGCCGAAGACAAATATCAAAGATATATGATAAGACAGCATATAACTTGTTTTGAGCTTGCTTTAAGTCTTTGATGTTCCTTGATATTTTATTAATTCATTTTATTTAGATTGTATCTCTGTATTTGTCATTTTAAATGTTGTAACTAAAAACACTCAGATTATTGAGTACTGAGAAAATTAGTTTGATCATGTCACTTTGTTAATGTGACTGTCCCAAATCAGAAATCTAGACTTTGGGTGTCTGCCATTAACCGGTATTAGTATATTTTTGTCATTCAAATAAATTTGGTGTTTACAACAGATCTTTTGTATTCTAAGATAAATTAACTCACTGCTCGTCTAGACTCAAGGAAATTTAGTGCTTAACATATGTACACACTTTTGTATTGTACAAGACCATGTTGACCTAAAGATATCTTTTTTGTTTTTGTGTTTTTAGGTTACTGTCTTATCGTCAAATATACTACTATTAAAAACACCAAAAGTGACCAATGGTTTAATGATTCAAATGTAACATTACTGAATACAATTACTCCTTGTCAAAAATCTTATACATTGTACTTAACATATTTTTGGTTAATTTACATATTTCTAAACTTGCCTGCCTATTCATTTGACAGTTGTTGTTTAATTTTATGAAAAATGCATGAATGTTAAAATAAGGAGATGTGATAGGATTGCCAATGAGACAACTATCCATCAGTTCAAATGATGAAGATATTCATATATTCTTTAAAAACAACATGTTTAACCCCACCGTCTTTCTGTGCCTGTCCCAAGTCAGGAGCCTGTAGTTCAGTTGTCGTTGGTTCATGTCTGTCATATTTGTTTTTCGTAAATTGTGTTGTTATAAATTAGGCGATTAGTTTTCTCAATTGAATTGTTTCATATTTTTCATGTCTGGGCCTTTTATAGCTAGCCGACCATACAATATGGGTTTTTCTCATTGTTGAAGGCTGTACGGTTGCCTATAATTGCTTACATCCACTTCATTTGAACTTTGGTGGATAGTTGTCTCATTGACAATCATACCACATCTCCTTATTTTTATTTTAATGGCAAACCATTTATGCAATTTAATAAATCCATATGCATGTTGTTAAAGTATATGTTACAATGAACTTGAGAACTGGTGATTAGGATCTCAACATTTTGTTGTAATAAGGCCAGTATTACCTCTTCGTAACAAGCAAGTTATGAAACTCCTGAGATTTTTTAGCTGCAGTATTTAAAATGTCCTGAGGTATTGATGCCAGTCTTGCCACATTTAATCCATAACTTTTCCCAGCACAGCCACTGACAAGCTGGTACAAAAATGTCACTGCATTGGAGCTGTCCTCGTCACCTTTAAAGAACACAAAGCATATTGACTTGTTATATAAACTAACAATAAATTGGTAAGAATTACATTTAAATAGTCATCTGTTTGTCATCCTAAACTTTAATAAAGATCTTCTCCTCTGAAACCACTAAACAGATTCGAACAAAATTGTGTGTAAATGTTTCATGGTATGTCTAGTTTAAAAATTGTATCTGAGATTTTAAATTGTCATCAAAAATGACCATTTTTGTCGCTAAAAAAAAACACAAAGGTGTATCACTACAGTTTTTGGATTATATTTCAAAATCTTAATCATTAAGAGCAAAACTGATATGGAAACTGATCTATCTACTTTTTCTAAATAAGAAAAAACTCATTTTGTAATTATTATCCCTGAATGGACAATTTTTAGCAAATTTCTACAGTCTTTGGCTTTTATCTTGAAAACTATAACAGAGAGAGAAAAACAAATGGTAAAAATGTCCAGCAAGACAAGATCAAATAAATCTTCAGTTATTGTATATTATTCAATAATGTTTTTTAGCCTTTTTTTGCATTTTTGTTGAAAACTATATAAGAGAAACTGTTTCAGCAAAATAAATCACAAATGTTAGATCTACTCATAAGTAGAAATTAGCAAAATAGTCTGGCAACTACTTATAGGAACTATTGCCGTCAATGACAATTTTTATCAAACTTTTTGCACTTTTGGTGAAAAACTAAAGTAGATAGAGACAAACTGTTAACAACAATTAAAGTGATCAACAAGATGAAATCAAGTAGTCAGTTGACTCTTTAAGGATGTTTTCTTATATTGTGTATAACTTCTTGTCAAGATATTCAGAATCCTCTGGTTTTATCCATGTAGTGCCATTTAAAAAAAATTGGCTGGCTTATCCCTACTTTTCTTTTCATAGTTTTATTACATATAGTTTAAAAAGCCATTCATTTGTGAAAATTAAAAAAAATCATTGTTATTTTTCCTAGGTTTTTAAAGACAAAAGGTGCCAATGTTAAATGTTTGAAAAATTTAGCGAGAATCATTTCCCTCCAAATTTTTATTGTCTTATATCTCAAAAAAAAAGGACACAGAACTTTCATGTTTTTCTGATTTTTTAGTTCCATTATTTATATACTATCAATTTATAACAGTCTTTTAAAATAAATGTTATGCTGAAACAGAGCAAGCCATCATCCTTAATGGATTTATTGCCCTTAAATTAATATTTTTGATAAATTTAGTGTTTTGACATATTATCTTAAAAACTATAACAGATAGACTGAAACTTTGAAAAGCAAAATTGATCAGCAACCCAAATAATTCAGTTTGATTCAAATAATCAATTTACTCCCTACAGGAGTTGTTGCCCCTTAATCACAATTTTAACAATTTTTTTTTTTACTTTTTGATGTTATTCTTAAAAACTGTAATGGATAGACAAAAAACTATGTTCACAAAAAATTATCAGCAAAATTAGATTTTGGCCTACACTGTTTCCATTCCACACAAATATTCTTGTTGCACTGTATCAGTTTTAAGTAAAAAAAAAAAAAAAAAAAAAAACAACAGGTAAGCGATTCATGCTCATTGTAACCTCTTCTTTTCTTATTCTCAACTCTACAGAAATTGGCACCCATGACTAAACATATTTTCACAGAAGACTTATTCCACCAATGTGGTGTCGTATAATACACAAAAACTCACCTATTTTACCTGAGTCTTCATTGACCATAAATGACATGTGATGATTCTGCACTATATTTGGATACGTCTGTTCTAGTTCTGATAATACTGGGTAATGCGTTACAAATAACGTCAGACATTTAACCTACAATATATCTATATATATATATATATATATATATATATATATATATATATATATATATATATATAAGTGCCTATAAATAGCAGCACATGACATACAAATCTATGGGAGTGTGGATTAATCAGTACAGAGCATCGTCCTTTTTATCCTGTAATATTGGCCAATGGACGTTGCTAACTTCAACTACCAATTTTGTAAAAATCTTGAACTTCATCCAAATTATGTATTATTTTAAAGGCAGCTAAATTCAAGTGCAACATATACATTGAGCTGCAAAAGTTTCTTATCATCTACATCCGATTTCACCTGGATAGATGCACGCTTGATAAAGCTAGTTAGTCTAGCGAAATATTGCGTTTAATTTCATCATTTTGTAAATATTTTAAACATTCTTATATTTACATACTAAATAGTGTGTTAAAATTACATTGTTAGGCAATCTATATATATATATATATATATACGTAATTTATTCCATTCATTAAGTCAAGTTTAGAATGAATATGGTGGCGATGTAGTTAATTTCTCTCACTGAATTCTCCCAGTGAATTTCATCTTACAAAAGTATGCAAAAGATCTTTTACATATTTTATTCTAATATGTTTGATGATAACTGATGTTTATTACACAATTTATCAGAATCTATTGCAGGAAGAAAACGCAACAACAGTTCTTATTGTACTAAGAAAATACCTGTTTTATAAAATAATCCAAAGAAGCATAAGCTATTGCTACACCGTCATGTGTACTGGTACCCCTGCCCAATTCATCCAGTATAACCAAAGATCTTGGTGTAGCTTTTAACATTATGTCAGAGGCTTCCTGTAACTCTACCATAAATGTACTTCTGCCTTTGTAAATCTCATCTGAAGCTCCCATCCTGTGGTTAATATACGATACTAATATTTCTAGTAGATTTTTATCATTTTTATTTCAAACATTTTCATAATTATATATAAAAAAAAGGATGAATGCACACAATACTTTTCACCAGAGTAAATATATTTTAATCGCTTAGCTGTGTTAATAATTTTGGTGATTGTTCATTCTTCTAAAATAAGGTAAAATGTTTTTCAATTCTCATTTCTTGTTTCTTAATAATAGTACCTGGTTTGTGTGAAAGTATATTTCTTCCTCTCTTGGATGAGTTTGATTTTTTGATTTTTTTCAAAAACACATTGATACAAATATAAAATTAAGAAGAATTAGAAAACTGTTTCATTTTGTATATTATCCAGTCTGGTGCAATCAATTAGTTAAGAATCATGGATATCAGATCATTGTTTTAGCAGATATAGAGGATTCTTTAATATCCATTGGAAACGAATTTTAATGGAATTTTCCTACCCTTTGTATACTGAAAACGTATTTTGGGGTTCAGCCCTTTATAGCCAACTTTCTATTGATTTATTTTCACTTACTTTTGTAATTTTGTTGATGTATTATAATAGAGAATATACAAGTTGGACATATTCACAACGATTTTATATTAATAGAAATAAGATGTGGTATGATTGCCAATGAGACAACTCTCCACCGGAGACCTGTGTTGCCTTCAACAATGAGCAAAACCCATACTGCATAGTAGGCCCTGAAAGGGCCACTTCCATGATTTTTCTTCTTGCCAAAATCGCACAAATAAACAGCTCATAAAAATTAGTCTACAGTACACAAAACTTCAAAGTTTTAACCCAGTTTTATTAACTTTTGATGAAAGTGACCAATCTTCCAAAATTTTTCTTTGTGATATCTTGTAGATATCATCCTTAATATGACATCTGCTGACTACTAAGATCCATAGGTATTACAGCTACTTGTTTCATAATTTATGTAGTATCTATCAATCTATGTGATATCTTACCTGGTGTAAATAGCATCCACAATTCCCATTTCTGCTGATTCAGCAGGAACATAAGATCCAATCTGTGTAAGGATAGAAATCAGAGCTACTTGTTTTATATAAGAACTCTTCCCTCCCATATTTGGTCCTGTGATTATCATAACCTTAGTCTCATTTGTCTGAAAATAAAAATTAAACTGATAGCATGAATATCTTAAATCTATTTATCAGACATGGACAAAAACAAAATATATCTGTAAAGCTAAATCCTGGCCATAAATACTGTAAACCAACATATTTTTGTTGATACTTTATTTTGCATTTAGCCCATTCTAACTTACTTCACGGCTAATTATATTAGGGATTTTCTAATTTTTATATAACAATAGATTAAAGTTTTACCGTACATATTCCCAATGATTTATTATCATGTTATTTTTCTACTCAAGAAAGTCAGGAAAAATAAATTGCTCATGAAAATAAGTTGGTTTACAGTTGCATGCATGCAGGTTTACAGATGATTTTCATTTCTGAATTACACAGTTCACAAATCAAGTTAAAATATACTAGGTCACTGATCACCATATCATGTCAGGTTTTCTTTCAGTCAAACACTGATGCCAATACGGTTTGAGCCTTGACTCCTCATGACTAGAGTAGCTAAATCTAACAAATTTTTATAGTATGTCACTGTTCAAAGGTAACCGGTTTACTTTGAGTTTTTTTTCCCACTAATAGCCAATAATCAATAAAACAATCAAAACCTTCATTCAATAAATCACTACTTCAGACCATTTTGGACAGGTTTAAACAGCCTTTTTTCAAATTTCAAAGTTTGAAAGGCAATTTTTTCTATAAATATTTGAAATGTTTCACATAAAATACTGACTTTTTACTTATTTGTAGGTAAGTTTATCTAGTTTATGTTTTCATTTTGAGTGGTTTTTATTTTTTTTAATAATCTTTTCTGCTTTCACAAATGACTGGTAATGAAGTTTACACATCAAATTAATCATTAAAGACAGTAAGGTAAAGAAAACCTGCATACTGTTTTGTCTTTTTTAGATTTAAAAAAAACTTAATTGAGTACACACAAAATGTTGATATACCTACAGATATATTGGTATTATTTGGAACAAACTGTTGACTTCCTTGTAAAATCTGTTGTATTACTGGATGTTGTCCTTGTTCAATGTTTATACAAACTTCATTCTCCTTTATTTTCGGCCTACAATTTACAGAATTCTTACTATAGAAAAATTGCATGTTGAAAAGTTCTAAGATAAAAGCAAGACTTTTCATGATTATGTGTTCTCCCCAAAAGCTTCCTATTAAACAAAGAACTTTGAAATACTATCTTCTTTCTAGAAATTATAGTATTACATCTGTAACACAATCTTCAAGAAATTCATTTCAAATAGCATTACTATCAATGAATATAGAATCACATTACCATGGTGTTAATAGACTCTGCATGGATAAAAAACCCTGTGACGTTCATGTCTTAAAAAATTTGATTTTCATACATCTTCTGAAAGCATATGCTTGTAACAATATATGATCCTATCATGCTCCTATCCAATTGCTTACTTTTAGCTAAAACACAGCATATTCCTTTAAACAATATTTACCTTAAACTTTAACCAGGAAAAATTGTTAAAACTTTTATCAAGTTTGTAGATTAGTATTTAAATAAATTCACAATGATTTGCAACAAGCCATAACAAATTTGCCTAACATACCTACAATATCCATGTAACCTAGCCACTAAGGATAGGGAAAATAAACAGTCTAATGTAGCTATGTGATGAACTGCTTTCCTGTACTTCTGGTAATCATCCTCAAACCACCTGGAAAATAATAATTTGGTAATCAGCCCTATAATGATAAAACTTGAGAAAAGATTTCAAATGAAAAAGTCTACCAATGAAAAAAATTTGGCTTAATATATCCGGTACTTTGGTAATACATGTACTATCATTCAGTTGTGTTTTTCAAATTATTCTTCTCCTTGCAGTTCTTTTCCATAAAATCAAAATAGTAGTAATTAGTCAGATTTCTCCATGGTCATTCTGGGTACTTTTCCTAACAATGATCCCAAGGTTATTTTATCAGGAGAAACGTTCATGCTACAGTTCTGATAAACATTTGAAAACATAGAATTTCTTCTTTCTGCATGTAGATTCCACTAATTCTATAGGAAGCAGCTTTTTTAACACATTGTTAGATCACTATTTTCTGTGAAATTACCAAAAGGGATATTCAAACTCATAATTAAAGTAGGCATGATTTAAAATAAGAATGAAATAAATTGAGAAAGCAGATGATTGGTGAATACTTATTCTGTTAAAGTCAAATAAATAAAGAGTAGTAGAAGACTAGTCTAAGTGATAAATTGCAGAGAAAGTAAGGGGATGTAACTCTAAAGCTGTATCTTATTACAATACCTATTGATAAATCATCTCAAGTGCCTAAATGTATTTCCAAACATTAGCTGTTACCGGTAGTCACATTTTGATTTTATGTTTTTTTATTAGTAACTACGTATCAATAAGTATCACTACATTTTAAATAAAGCAAAATTTCCACAATGTAGCTGCTACAGATCTACAAAATTCAAGGGTTAAAATTGACTGTCATGTTGAAGTTGATATAAATAGTAGGCAGAAGACACCACATGGATTCCTGTAAATTCAGAAATTGCTTCAAGGTTTTTATTATTGCAAATAATGTTACTGGGTGATAATTGCAATAATAAGAACTTGCATTCTGATATCTGATACATATATCTGTATGCAGATTTACCTGAAATCACAATAATAAATCTGGCACTTTTGTAATTTCTTCAAAAATGGCAATAATAAATGCAAGCAATAATTTCTGAATTAACAGTAACTAATTTGCTACAGTTAACATGGTTCAAATGAACTTAATCATAAATCAGGCTGTTAATTTTCTCATTTTAATTGTTTAACATTTGTCATGTCAGGGCCTTTTATAGCTTACTATACAGTATGGTTTTTGCTCCTTGTTAAAGGCTGTACAGTGACCTATAGTTGCCAAATTTTATGTAAACTGGTCTGTTGGAAAGTTGTCTCATTGGCAATCATACCACATATTCTTATTTTTATATAAATATGCCTAAGAAAAACTTTACCCTAGGAACTGTAACCAAGCTTCATCACAGTCTTTCTTCAACTGTTCTCTTAGTTGATTTAGTTTCTTGTAAGTTGCTTGTATAAATGGAGGATGAAATCTACTAACTGCCTTTGTACTGCCAAGAAAAAAAAGTAACATTTTCACCTAAAAGACCATGCAAGACTCCATAGGTAATTATAGCCATTCAATATCCCCTAATAGTAATGCAGTATACTTCCTACATGCCTAATATATTACAATTTTCAAGAATAAATTACTTTTTCACAATTTAGAACATCCCTAAAAAGAGTTACAAAGTTATGGCTTCAAGTAATGAAAAAGTGACATTTAAACATAATAAAAATTTATGTAAAATCCCTGCATTTCCATAGATTTAGACTTGTGTATAAAGAAAGGTAACTACACTTAATATTTGAATTACAGAGAAAAATTACTTAAGACAAATTACCTGCTTATCTTCAGCCAATCAGTGGGTACAACATGTGACACTTTGTTTTTCACTTCAATTAAGTACTATAAAATAAATAAGTAAAAAAAATAATCAGTGTCTAATTTTCAAATACTTTAACATATCAAAATCAAATCTAAACAGTACATAGCTATATTTTGATGTTTGGCTTTTTTTCTTCAATAATTGTAGATTTATAAAATATGTGCAACTACAACTTAAATGCAAAAATTTGACATGCTGAAAATTGAGAACTTTTGATAAGGGGGGGGGGGGGGGGGGGGGGGGGGGGGCGGGGGGCGCTGACTAACCTAAGGGGGGGCACGCTCCAGTCATGCTTCAGTGATAACCTATTAAATCGAACAAATTTTTCCCACAAAAGGGGGGCCCCCTGGATCTGCCTATGGAGTTTGAATGTCCCTTTGGTATCTTTCAGATCTCTTTTTTTTAGATAGAATAGCTTGTCCCTTTAGGTGCAGTAGTTCAAATTAATTGAAACAAGCATTCTGAGAGTATCGCATGGCAAAACATAGTCCCCTACCAGTTAAAAATTCATTGTACTGGAACAATATGCTAACTTGATCTATAACTTGTCATGGCGTAAACTATATAACAAATATCAAGTCAATATCTTCAAGCATGACGTAAAAAAGTGTGGAAAACTTACTATTTAAGTGAATTTTCTAAGTCCAAGGACCATAGCTCTGCACAAAATTATCAGAACGGAAAGTCAAACTTGATCTGTAACTTGTCATGATAAAACAATATACCAATTATCAAATCAATATCTTCAAGCATGACGAAAAAAAGTGTGGAAAACTAATTATTTGAGTGAATTTTCTAAGTCCAAGGACCATAACTCTGCACAAAATCATCAGACCGGAACAAAATTTATATTTGGTCTGTAACTTGTCATGATAAAACTATATACCAATTATCAAATCAATATCTTCAAGCATGACGGAAAAAAGTGCGGAAAACTGATTTGCCGGACTGACGGAAGGACAGACAGACAGACAGACTGACAGAGTACAAACCTAAAGTCCCCTTTGACTTCGTCGGTAGGGGACTAATAATGAAAAATTACAGACCAATTGAATTTTTAAGTAAAAGGTCCTCCTTAAGAAAGTCAACATTCCTATATAAAAATGTTAAAGCATCAGTGTAAAGCTTTTGTAATTAAATACTGAAAAGATCTTTCCTAGGAAAGACAGGTCCCTGACCTCAGACCCCCCCTGAAGGTGTTGTTGTTTTTAAGAGGTGAACCTTATAGCCAGGTTGTTAATACTTACTTCAGTACCTAATACAGTAGTGTAATCTAAAGCAGGCTGTTTCAATATCAACCTGACAGTTCGTCTGTGATCTAACATTTCCTTCTCCACATCCTTTATCTCTTTTTTTCTCATCTGTACAGTAGGAAACAGACTTTCATCAGAGAACAGATTAGTTTTCTCTTTATCCCTGTGCAATAAATTAAACTGTTTTCAAAAGATAGCAAGTATTTTTATAGCATCAGAATTTAAACGTAATTAAGTACATGTACATGAAAGGCTAAGATTTGAATATTTATTTGCATCATTTTCATTGAGATGAAACATTTCTGATAAAGTCAGACAACATTTAGCATTTCATAAGCAGAAAAAAAACCTATCAAAACGAACCACACATTTCTGACATTTCCCTTATGCTATGTCAACAACAACCTTATTCTATTCATAACGGCATTTGACTGGGTTTTTATTGTCGAGTTATAATGAAGCTATCATAAAATAAATATGAATAATTAAGAAGTCCAATTAATCAAGTACAATTGTCATAATCAATACTAAGAGACATCAAAATATATAAACTCAGTGGTAAATAATTTTAGTATTCTAATTCCTTTCATCTGATTAAAGTAAAGATAATTTGATACAAACCTGACATTATTTTCATGTAAATTATTTAACAAAGATTTAACATCTTCCAATAACTGTGGAATATCGTTGAGTATATCAGTGAGTATTTCTGATGATAGTGTTCCATCTAACTGTTTAGTTATTAACTGGACATCTTCACTCCATTTAAGTAGAGACTTACATACGAAGAAAAATTCAAGTACACTACACTGAAATATGGAAAAATAAATATAAATGAAAATTTGTTGTCTTTATTAGGATATTACAGTAAAAAGACATGCATTTTACTTTTATTCATGTTAAATAAAGCTGTTAATCTAGGCCACATAAAATTTATTTTTCTTTGCCATTAATTTCTTATAGATCAAATCTTCAATATAAACTGTTGATGCAGAGATATGTCTCTCTACTATGTACTTTTGAAAGTACATGCATTTATAAATTCAAATGTTGAAACTTAAATAGTGAAATCTTATACATGCTTAATTAAATGTACCTTTTTGAAATATACTGAACTGATTCCTTTTTCTAAGTCAGGTGTCTGTGCCAATGAACTTCTGAGGTGAGCAAGAACCTGTGTATTTTTGCCCTGTAGTAATTCATTTATTGCTTCCTGTCTATCTAAAATATGTCTGAAATGAAAAAAAATCTGATATAATTAATTGAGAAAATATTTTGATCGCCTTTAAAAATATATCAATCCAATAGTATAGTTTTATTGCATCAATATTGGTGAATATTGTCTGGGATAGATTTTTACATTGCAACAGCTTGCAAGTGCAATACATATTTTACGAGGGATAATATTCACCAAAATTCATTCAATAATCCTTTTATTGTATAGCAAAGCTTGAAAAACTATTTTAAACATATTTTTGTCGCTGATGAAGATGATAATTTTAAGGCTATATTTGAACTAGTGCAATATTAAACAATTTTCTATGCTAACTTTTTGTTACTCTCTGTGGGAAATATTATGTTATAACACAATAAAATTGTATGCTTAGTTTCCACAGTCATACATGTAAAAATCTGTTGCATTATCATATCATTGGAATGAAATAAATTTATTCAATCTTAAGCCTCCTACACTATTTTTATTGGAATATTTAATAAAGGGCGATGAACACTCAAATTGTCAACTCAATGTTAAATGAAATATATGTCAGGTGCAGATGTTCATGTACATGTAATTAATTCTGTATTATTCATAAATAAAATTAAAAGATTGACAAATTTTACTATAAATGCAATTTCAGGGGCCAAATATGACTTTAATCATACCTCCACCTTTGTCCCCTAGAATAGTTAAATGCACATAAAGTTAAATTTAGATTCTGGAAAATTTTGGAATAGAAAGCATTGAGAATATACTTCTATAAACATTATTTGCCTTAGCTCAGTATTATGTTACTCACTTTGCTGAAAGCAAGGGTTTTTTCAACCATGATTTTAACATTCTACCACCAAATCTAGTAACAGTCTGGTTAAGGGCCCAAAATAATGATCCTTTCTCTTTTCCATCAGTAAGATTTTGAAACACTTCTAAATTCCTGAGTACACTAGTTTGTAGCTGCATGTAGAGGGATTTTGTAGAAAACTGACAAAAATTCCTGAAAAATAAATAAAATCAATCTACCTTGAAAACAAGAGTACCCTTGCCTTCTTTTATCAATATGAAGAGAATAAAATATAATTTTAAATGATAAAAATAGGACTCCAATCTCTTTTAACTATCGGTAAGTGAAGTCTATACAAATCAATCTAAATGGATCAGATACATTCAAGTGTAGAAAAAAACAAAGTTTAACAGAATATTTAACAGAATATTTAATAATAAAAATATATGATATCAAGAAAAGTTGAAAAAATGAAACTATTCTGTGAAGATGAGGGATAAAATATTCTTTATTTTCTATAACAATAGATTTGCTGCTGGAAACATACAATCATGCCTATGGAAGGATAAATGACTAGGAATTATTTGTATTATAGTTTTGAAAATATGAAAATCTATATTTTGCACTATACATTAAAATAACTTTCCTTCAGAAATATAATTTGCTGCCATTTTAAAGAAAATATTCCCAAAATGATCATGTCAATAGAATAAAACTATTTATTTTTTTAAAGTTCCAATCCAAACATAAAAAGAAGACAATTATTCAATACCTTTTAAAAACTGGGTGGTACTACAATGTTCTCATTTCATTAAAGTAGTTAGATCAATTTTTCCCATTAAGTTATTGAATATTTTTTAAAAGTTTATTTCTGACTTAATATCTTAGCTGAAAATACAATATGTAGACAATATACCCAGTAAGTTTCAGAATCTGGCTTAGTCCAAAATCTTTGAGGTACACCAAAACACCTGACAAACAGCTTATAACTGGTTTTGGTAAATTTATTATCTCCTGAATTCTACCAGCACCTACATTAAAGATTGAATGAAATAATATATAACGTTACATTGTAGCAGTTAATATTATTGCAGTTTTCTTTTTAAAGGTTTTTGGCTGTAAATATTCTACATGTTTATCATTGTAATCACACAGTATAAATTTATATGGTAGGTTTTTCCTCAAAACAATTAATGTGAATTTAATGCTACTCAATGATTTATAACTCGCTGTCTACAATTTTTAAAGTTTATACGTGATATCATAAAATATAGGTAACATACATTTAGCATCAGACTTGTAGAAATCTGATACTGTCTGAAATGCTTGATCATATTCAAAATGTTCCTCTGATTGTCTTTCTAATCTTATTCTATCATCCTCTGATGTACTGCAAATAAAGATTGAGAAAGCTTTCAGTATATTGAAATAAGGCAATACGTTTATACTTGGATGTATAAAGTAACTGGCCTTTTTATAGCATATCCAGTATCAACAATAGAAGTCTACATCTACCTTTCAGTAGATAACAGCCAAGATTATAATAAGATGTTATATGAAAATAGTCAAATTTAATACATGTAGCTTATTTTTCAATTGTAAAGGAAATCATAGATCTTTACTAGTTCACATGCATTGTACTACATAAAGAATAGAGATCTTAACTACACATGGATAAGTTTAGCTTTTAAATTAAATAAAATCTGTTGCTTTAACTGTAAAAATCAAACAAATACATGTCAATCAATCGATTATCAAAATTTTCTTTCATAGATATATATTGCCTTATACCAGCTACCTGAAACAATATGAAGTTATTATTTTACAATATTAATGAAATATTAAGTACATCTACTGAATGTCCACTAAAATGTTAACATTATCTGGTACTATTACCTTATATCTATGATTCCTTTGATTATTTTCTCAGTTTTTGAAGACAGGTTACAAGGTATTAGTATTTCCGCTGGCTGTATGTGGGTTATCCTGGTTTCCAGTTCACTTCTTGTATCATCATCATTGAAAAAATCATAAATAATGTCACCAGTTGAAGGTTGGACAGCCTAAGAAAATAAAAATATAACTTTTTTTTAATTTTTTTCTCAATTTTAATAACTGACACAATAATAATAATAATAATAATAAAAGTAAAATACAAATAAATAGAAAAATTCCTATAAAACCTGTTGGATGTATAAGGTTGTTTTTTTTTTATTATGAAAATGAACAGAAGATTCCAAAACCGATGTTTTTATTTTGAATTTCATGTAACAATACTAACTATGTATCTGTTATTGCTTGACTGGTCATTCAAGGTAAAATATCCAAAAGCGGGAGATTCTATACTCCTGCGCGGGAGGGGACTGGCTAGCGGGAGATTTCTGGAATTTCGTCTTTTGAGTGGGAGTCTCCCACTCAAAACGGGAGGGTTGGCAGGTATGCATTTTTCGATAGTATAAGGACCAAAACTCCCGAACAGTTAAGTGAAAATCCTCAATATCGAACTTGACCTCCATTTTGTCATTAGTATCAACATATTAAAATTTGAAAATCATTGGTTGAATGGTTCATAAGTAATTGCATGGCCGTACTACACCAATCTAATAACTGGATTTTTCCTTCCGAAAAAAACATTTATCTATAAAAGGAATATACAGTCTACCAAAAAGATTAATTCCAGATTAAAATGAAAGAGATTTCAAGAAGTAAAAAGTAAAATAACAAAAATATCGAACTCCAAGAAAAATTCAAATCGGAAAGTCCCTAATCATGCTAATAAAACGACAAAATCAAAAGCTCAAACACATCATACAAATTGAAAACAACTGTCTCATTCCTGACTTGGTACAAGCATTTCCTTATGTAGAAAATGGTGGATTAAACCAGGTTTTATAGCTAGCTAAAAGAAATTTGAAATATATCTGAACCAACAACATACCAGAATTCCAATAGATGTTTGTTTAGTTTTATCTGGTGGTGTTTCATACACACACAACAGAAATGACGTCTGCTCCTCAACAGTAGCCTCTCCAGTTATTTCCCCTGAGATAGGATTTACATCTGAAAAAAATTTATGAAAGCAGATGTGCAAAAATTTAGGAATTAACATCTGTCAACAATATTCTCATAAACTACTGTAAATTGGGAAATTTTTGCGGTTTTCTCTCGAAAAGCATGTGTTTTATTTTGGTGTGTGTAATTTTAGTGCTTCGTCAAATTGATATGTTTTAATTTTGGAACAACAGTAGTGAGCAAGCTTATTCATATTTGCCTTTATTTACCCGTTTATTGACAAAATATCATTGAATTTCTCAAACTAAAAACACGACAAAGTTAACTTAATGAAGGAATCGGATACGGATGCAATTGCAAATAGTTCCGTATATCGTGGTTCGAAGCTGAAAGAAAAATATAAAATAAAATCTTAAACATTAAAAACACTTTTTAAAAAGATTATTTATTTTTTTTAAATATCATATGAAATAAATTTTAATCATCTCTATTGCAGTACATGTTAATCTATTGACGATTAAGGATTTAAATTCTAATCCTTATGCCTCTGGCAGTACATGTTAATTAATTGGAGATAAAGGATTACAAAGAGTTTTGATATTCTAATTACCAATAACGGTGTTTAATCAGCAATAACCTGGCATATTTATGACATGTGTGAATAAAAATGCATGTTATGTTTTCTTTAAAATTTCAGAAAATTGACAATTAAGTAAAAATTATCTTGTGTTGTTGTCAAATTATACCAGGTATTTATTTACAGATTTGGCTATGTGTAGAATTGTAGGAAATATACGGAAGATATAATAACATAAAATATTATCCCCAACAATTAACATTACGATATGAATTTTTAGTGTTTGCTTTATTTTCGTGTGTTTAATTTTGGCACTTTCATTGGAGGCACCAAATAAACCAAAATAAAACTACAACCAAAATAACCCAATTTATGGTATATGAAGATATGAATTATGTCCCCTTGAAATATGGAACGGAAATTTTTTGCTCTGACGAATTTCGTTGAAAATGTTGTTTTAAGTTACATCTTATTAGCTGATTTTTGGAGATGAAGTTTTTTTAGGAATGCAGATGCGTGAGTGTTACCGACGAATTTTTTGAAGGGAAATTTAACTTTTGCACAATTATTGATTATTTATTTCCGAAACGGGGTTAAAGCTATATACACAACACAACCTAAACATCACTCACACTAAATTTTCCGATAGTTGATTACAAAACAAAGGAGAAGTCTCGATCGAGCAGACAAAGTTGGACTTTGGACCTCAAGTGTATGACATGTAAATTAGAAATGATGTTGTTTGTTAGCCTTTGAACTTAGAATTTGCCTGAAGTATAAACATGTCGCTGAAAGAAACGGCAGCACTTCTCGCCGAGAGTTGGAAAATTGTCAATCAATCAAAAGAAGATGATTTGTATGTGCTCTTAAACATGATCCTACAAGTCGTTACGACCATGGATAATAGGATGCAAAAAATAGAGAAAGGTGTAAATAAAATTGATGAATTAAAAACTATTATCACATCTATAGTATCGAGAATAGGGGATTTGGAAAAAACTGTTCATGACATAAAATTAAAGAATTCTGAGATGGAAAGTAGTATTGAGGGCATCAGCAATGTATTTGACGAAGTTAATAACATAAATAAAGAATACAAAGCCAAACTACAAAACATTTCCACAAAATTTAATCAACTAGAAAACGCAACAAAAACTGAAATCGGCAAACTTAGGGTAGAAAATGAAAAGATAGAAAAACTTAAATCAAACATCCTAGACCTTCAGTGCAGATCCATGAAAAACAATTTAATTTTTTCTGGATTAGCTTACAATAAGAATGAAAATTGTGAAGCAAAACTAAGAAATTTCATCTATGAGGAGTTGCAAATTGAACAACATATAGAATTTGGTAACGTCCATAGATTTGGGAAAATTGGGTGGAATAGAGCCAAACCAATTGTGGCGCGTTTTATTTACCAACGCGACCTAGAATGCGTTCTCCAAAACGCATTTCGCCTCAAGGGAAAGCCTTTTGGTATCAATGAACAATTCCCAGCAGAAATTGAAGCTCGCCGAAGGAAACTCTATCCTGTTATGAAACAGGCGAAGCGAGAAGGTAATCAGGTGTCATTGGTACGGGACAAACTATTTATTGACGGAGAACAATTCCTATTCACAGAACAAACTAATACCAGTAAAGATGATCAGCACAGAGGGCATCAGAATGGAGGGTTTAGAGACGTAATGATGACCCCAGCAAATACTAACGGTCGACCTTACAAACGACAAAGATCTGGGTCAAGCCCAAGTAGTGAATCAACTCACCTATAGGAATGCCACGGAGAGCATAACCAAAATTTAACAGATGTAAATTTGAACTGTAATGATTCTTTAAAAACTTCCAGAAATGTTCATATTAGAAGTGATATCAATATTTTGTGTCTAAATTGTTGTGGTGTTAAAAAAAAGATTGAACTACCCTGAATTTCAGTCATTGTTAAATAATAACGATATAATTTGTTTAGTTGAAACAAAAACTGACGATATAGATATTATTGATTTACCAGGTTATGAATTCAAAATGAAAAATAGAAAGAAAGTATCAAGAAATAGGTCAGGGGGATAACTTTAGGATACAAATTAGAACTAGCAAATAAAATAAAAGTGTTAACAACTGACAGTCAGTTTGTTCTTTGGTTCAAAGTTTCGTTAGATTTACTTAGTATTGACGATGATATAGTTTTTGGCATAGTATATATTCCTCCGGAATACACAAATTACTCATCTCAAGATGCTTACAGTCAGTTAGAAAATGAATACATTATTTTTTCTAATACTTATAAATATGTGTCATTACTAGGAGATTTTAACGGACGAACAGCAGATGACGACGATTTTATTATTATACATAATGATAAACATACAAATAATCTAACAGATTTTATAGAAAATAAAGTGTATATGCTTGATGAATTTAATATTCCAAAGAAAAGAAACTCTTTGGACAGGGTAAAAAAATGGATACGGGAAACTATTGTTAGATTTATGCAAAGGAACCAATTTATTTATTGTAAATGGTCGAATTGGTGATGATAGACAGTATGGTAAATTAACATGTAGAAATAGCAGTATTGTAGATTATTGTATTAGTAGTGCTGAGTTGTTACAATATTTTACTAATTTTCATGTACTTGAATTTTCTACTTTATATTCTGATGTTCATTCCCCATTAGAGATAACTTTGGCGAGCACTCAACAAGATGTTGAAAAAAATCAGTGTTTAAATGCTGGAACAGATACATGTAACCGTCCAGAAAATATCAAAAAGTGGGATAATGATAAAACTTTGGATTTTCAAAATGGGATAGATGTGGAAGGGGTCTATGCTCTAATTGAAGAAATTGATAAAGTTGAAGCAAATATGAGTAAATGAACTAAACATGATTGTAAATAACATGTGTGACTTATTTTTGGACTCTGCCAAGGCAACATTTGGGGTTACTAGAACTAGAGGTTCGAAGAAATCTAAAAACAAGCCAGTAAAATTAGATAAAGAATGGTTTGACAGTGACTGTAAATTTGCTCGCCAAAATTATCGCAAGCTCAAAAGAAAATCTAAGAACAATAGATCAGAACAAAACTGCCAAATTAAGAAATCTTCGGAGAAATTATATAAAAAGACTTTAGATAAAGCAATTACTGCACATAGAAAAAAAATGGCTAAAAAAATAAACATATTGAGATCCAATAATTCAAAAGAGTATTGGAAATTATTAAGCAGTAGAAAAAAAAGAGACCAACCCGACATCCCCATTACTAAATTGTTCGATTTTTTCAAAAACTTGAACGCCGCCCCAGATGATGAAGAAAATACAAATATTCCAACATTAACAGGCTTAATGAAAATTTAAACAAGATAATTTCAAAAGACGAAATTCTTAAGGGCATAAAAAACCTTAAGAATGATAAAGCATTTGGGGATGATCATATAATAAATGAATATATCAAGTTGACATCTGGCTTATTCATTGATTAATATGAAAAATTATTTAACGTTAAATTTCGCACTGGTATTATTCCTGATAGTTGGTTAATTGGTTATATTAAGCCTGTTTATAAAAATAAAGGTAGCAAGTTGGACCCCAAAAATTTTAGACCTATTACCATTTTGAGTTGTATGGGGAAACTTTTTACCGCAATTTTATGCGAGCGACTAAATCTTTTCTCTGAAGAATTTGTGATTTTAAACGAAAACCAATGTGGTTTTAGAAAGGGTTATTCAACAATTGATAATTTATTTGTAATTCATTCATTGTTTGAAATTTTAAAATTTAAGAAGAAAAAATTATTTTGTGCATTTGTCGACTTTGAAAAAGCGTTTGACACGATTTGGCGAGACGCACTGTGGTATAAAATGCTTTTGAATAATATGAATGGATGTATGTATAATGTTATTGTAAATATGTATCAAGGTACTAAGTCATGTATTTCATATAACAATTCCATGTCTGATTTTTTCCCATGTAATAACGGGGTTAGACAAGGCGAAAATTTATCGCCTTTTCTTTTTTCTCTATTTTTGAATGATCTTGATTCATTTTTGCAAACCTGTAATATAGAGGGCCTAAAATCAGTCTCAACAGAGCTTGAAGAAAAACTTGACATATTTTTAAAACTTTTTATTATTCTGTATGCTGATGATACTGTGTTGATGGCCGAATCCGCAACTGAACTCCAAAAACTATTAGATTGTTTTCTAGATTACACAGATGTATGGAGGCTAAAAGTAAATGTTGATAAAACAAAGGTCGTGGTTTTTTCAAGGAGACGACCATCATGTAATTTTCAATTTTTCTTTAATGAAAAAAAACTGGATATCGTTGATGAATTTAACTATTTGGGCATAATTCTAACAAGAACAGGTAATTTTAATAAAATGAAGCAATTTAATGTAGAAAAGGCTACTAAGGCTCTTTGCGATGATTTAAGACTAGGTCGTCTACATAATCTTTCTATATGTAGTCAGTTGGACTTATTTGATAAAATGGTGAAACCAATATTACTGTACGGTTGTGAAGTATGGGGTATTGGAAATAATGACATAATTGAAAGGGTACAACTAAAATTTTTTAAATTGTTATTAGGTCTGAAAACATCAACACCCTCTTACATGATTTATGGGGAGCTTGGAAGATATCCTATAGACTTGGACATAAAAACTAGATTGATCTCATTTTGGGGGAAATTAAATTCTGGTAAAGAGACAAAACTATCATATACTTTATATAAATTGTGTTATCACATGTCTATTAATGACAATGTGCATTTTTCATGGTTAAACAGAGTAAAGACTATTTTAAATGAATGTGGTATCCCCAATGTGTGGGAAACGCAATCTTTTATGAATTGTAAATGGTTAGTTTCATTCATCAAGCTCAGACTTAAAGATCAGTTTGTACAAGTCTGGCATTCTTTGCTTGAAAACTCACCAAAAGCACTTAATTATAAACTTTTTAAAGATTTTTTTGGAAAAGAAGATTATTTTGAAATTCTTGGGAACAAACTGTCTATTGATTTTTGTAGGTTTAGGACCACAAATCACAAGCTCCCTATTGAACAGGGTAGATGGAATAATATAGTTAGAAATAATAGACTGTGTCTTCTATGTAGTAAAAATGACATTGGTGATGAATTTCATTACATATTAGAATGCAAATACTTTAAAGAAAACAGGAAACATTGTATGTCACATTATTATTTTTAAAATGCAAATACTGTTAAATACAAGCAGATTATGTCTTCAAAACACAAATCAGAACTGATTAAACTTTGTAAATTTATATAGATTATCAACACAGGTATATGTGCTCCTGGCTAAAATGTACTTCATATATTTTCTTAGCAATTGTTTTGTTTGTTCTGTCTTATTGTAAATATTGTACATAAATGTCTTCTCTAAACCTATGTATATGGTTTATTGAGAATAAAGATATATATAAATGCATTCTGAAAACATTTCAAATTAATCAACCATAAACACCTTTAAGTATGCATTGTTTCTTTTTTTTTTTTCTTTTCACACAATTCTCTTCAACCTCATACTTTATTTGGTCTTTTTAACTTTTTTTGAATCGAGCGTCACTGATGAGTCTTTTGAAGACGAAACCTGCGTCTGGCGCAAATACAAAATTTCAATCCTGGCATCTATGATGAGTTTATTATGAACAAGCTGGGAGTATATCCTGTTATATCAAAGTTAGTCTAATTATGTTAATCTTTTGTTCTGATGTTTGCTTAACATTTCTTGTCATTTGGAAAAGCATAAAATATCTTCATTTTGCATTATAACGTCAGAGAAGCTTTCTTATTTTCTATGATGACATAATTGAAAAGTTTGACATCACAGTAGAAAATTGAGCTTCATTCATAGTGAAAAGCATTAGAAAACAGATATAAAAAAAATAATTGTATCCACCTTCTCCAATCAATGTAGACTTGGTATACAATGACTGTAGTTGTCTGGTAAATGGAGCACTTTTGTTGTCACCTGCTGCTTTCAAAGCTGCTGTCTCCATTTGTTTTACAACACCAACCTGTAATAATAAGTTATTCTGTAACCATATACTAAATGTTAATATCTATCAACTTAAACAAGTGTAATTTCAGTCTATAGTCATTTTTAAAACAATTTTTTCATTCTGATATGCGAATTTAGTTGTAAGCATAACATAAATTCAGAAATAAATGCGTGCATTTATTATTGTGAATTTTTTACCTCTAACAAAACTGTGAAATCTAGTTAATGGGACTGCAAAAAATGTTTCTTCTCATAGCTAAAATTATGAATGTGAGTTTTCACTATGGCAAACCTGATACTGTCGTTTTTTGTATTTATAAAAACATCTCAATGATTTCTGAATTTAAAATATAAACAAATCTCTTAACTACCAATCATTAAATTCCGACCAAAATCAACTTCAGTAGTAGGTCGACATACAGTAACCCATATACCACATTATTTGTTTTTTATTTGAAGTCAATTTGGATTTTAGTCGGAGCACTTAACATACACTACCATCTACAAAAATGTATATGGCAATTTGTCATACCTTATATCCTGCAGAAACCAGTCTTCTAACATGAACAAACAATCTATGTGTTGGAATGGATGCTGTCATAAAATTATGATCCAGATGACAAAATATCTTCAGTACTTTTGCTGCTACCTGCACAAAGAGATATTGGAATGTTATATATGGATATCCACTTTAATATATATCATGTAAAAATGGTATTCATTACATGGATATTGGAGCAAGAATGTTTCTTCTTGTCTCAAAGCTATATTTCTCTTTTACTGTCATAAAATAATCTCATAAAAGAAAAACACTAAGAATCAATTCCAACCAAGTAAGGTTCAAATTGGTCAAATGGTTTCAGCGAAGGATCTTATTTCCAATTTAAAATCAATTATTTAAAATCTATGCATGGTTAAATATGACATCAAATGTCAACAAACAGTGATACGTGTAGAATAGAAATATAAAAAAAAGTCCCCATATATAAGTATACAAGATATATAAAAAGACAAACAATGTAAGGTTGTATATTACTACATAAACAAAACTAGCCACCTAAATTTTTGGGGTTAATGTGTGTATTGAATGGTCAAATATATATATCTATAATCTTGTTAGTAAACATTGTTTTTTGCTAATCTACTAGGTAAGATTAATTTCAAACCTCTGCATCTTCTCCAAAGAATCTGTACTTGTAACCACATTCAACAAGTAGTAAAGCATCAGGGTACTTATTTTTAATATCAACATATTGTTGCTCCAGTGGTGTATATTTAGTTTTTGTCTGTTTATTGATTGGTGACTTCCCTTTACTAGGGGTTGACGATTGAGATGTATGGCTAAACACTGATAGACGATCATCTTTGATTATCACATCTTCATCACTGTCAGAATCACTATGATTATTCTTGGTTTTAGCTGCATTGTTAGCTGTGTTTAAATTTCCTTTCTTAAATTGTTTGATGCTAATCTCTGTTTTCTCTCTGTCTAAATCTGGTTCAAATTGTTTTAGTTTCAATTTTGTTGATTCATTTAAGATAACTTTAGACGAGCATTCTGGTTGTTGTCCATCATTTGGAGCTATATTTCCATTAGTTCTACCAGCTGATACATCTAAACATTTCTTTTTAGATGAATCACCTTCAGAAACATTTTCTTCTCTAGGTCTTTTCTTTTGACTGAATGAAGGAATCTAAAACAAAATTTCTGCTCATCAATTTTTATAACTAACTACAGTTGTAGATTCCAACAGGCTATGATTGAAAAGGGATTGCTGCTTAGTTAAATGTTATAATTAAGGGTTATTAATGGAAAAGAGTTGGAAATAGGTCTTTCAAAACTTGACATGTTACGATGTACAATGTACATGTACTGTCACTATTTTGTTGACTTTTAAAGAATATCATAATATATGTACCACATATGGCTATATTATGCTCTATTGTTAGCAAAGTTTCATTCTATTTTACTGCATTGATGACGTTTCAATGAATATGATTGAAATATCAACAGATTTTTACAGGTAATTTAAGCAGCTGTTAGTTCCACTGCATGTTATTATATCATATTTTTATAACTCTTTCACATGCTGGAGAACCTAAGAATTGTAGAAGAAATGTGGAAGATACCAAACGGCTATCAAACTTGTCACAATGACATTGCCACAACAACAACGAATTACAGCTATCAGTTACAATATAGAGCATTTATATTTTTATGTTATTCATTATGATTTTCATAACATAGAACAATAATACCAAATTTCAGCTTTGTAAATATCAATTAGCAGTAATCATACATAATTAACATCTAATAATTAATCATCAAATCACAAATAACAAATAACAAAGATATTTCATTTAAAAATTCCTCGAATTTTTATTCATTAAAATATATATATTTTGATATATACCTTTAAACACATCTAATAATCCAACAGGTATTTCAATAAATATAGGGTGCGAACGGACCAAGGGGGCAAACATGTGGGGTGCAAACGGACCAAGGGGCAAACATGTGGGGTGCGAACGTACAGGGTGGGAACATGTAGTAGGAGCGAATGGACCTGATACCTAATTATTTGGACTAACTTATTATAATAATGTACTGTTATTGTATAACTGTAAAATTTGTAATTTCCCTAGAATTTGCACTTGTCAATCATAACCTATTTGAGAGCATAGAAACAAATGTATAACCTTTCTTGGAGCCGTAGATTTTACCGGAGAATCATCTATATTTATCACTTGGACCTCAGGCTCATAACTTTTCGATGTCTTAGTATTGTTGTCGGTTGTATTTGACGAAAAGAATTTGGAAATTGTTGCCTGTCTGCTTTCGTCTACTTTTGATTTAAGCTTTGTCAGATTTATACTTTTTCGTTTTGACATGACAGTGTCAGAAATAATCAGAAGTTCATATTTATTATTTTGCAGCACTTGCAAATTTTCCTGGAAGTTACAAGGTGTGTGTAACAGTGATCAAACTCCGTAACGATTTTGTAAATATTTCCGGAAATTATAAATAGTTTTAGCATTGTCAGACTTGTATTTGTTTCGCTCACCTAGTGAACAAAATCGCTATTTGCCAATGAGGACTTTTAAGCACATACTATAGTTATTCTCTGTGTTGCTAATAATTTATGTAATCTACAGAATAGAATAGAATAGAATATCTTTTATTTCCATAAGAGGTAACCCTCAAGGGGCAAAGTGCATATACATGATAATACATATATGACAATAAAGTTACAATTACAAATACAATAAAGAAGAACAGCAAAACAGTATACTAAAGTTAGACAATTATAAATATTGCTAACAGTGTCACAGTGTTACATAATAAATGTTTATGTATACTCATGGAGTTTTGATAAGAATAGCCTAGTTGTTTCAAAATATTAATAGACTTAATTACAGTTTAATAACCAGATAAATTTATTAATCATATCAGAGACATATAACAATTGTATTATATGTCTCTGATCATATCTAAGGACATATCGAAATATCACATCAAATAACAAATCTCTATCCTTACAGTATCATGGGTATCATTCCGATGAAGTTCATCTTCCACTTTATTTAAATCGCATTTAGTACAAATTCTTTGATGAACTTATAATTAGGGAGCTACCATTTGATTTTTATGGGGGAGGGGGCTAGGATGAAATTTGAAAAAAAGGCAGGACAGGAGTTTTGAGTAAAAAAAAAAGGCAGGATGACAATTTATGTAAAAAAAAGTCAGGATAACTAATAAAAAAAAAGGCAGGACCGAGTAGAGTGAAAAAATAAAAAGCAGGACAGAGATTACAACTAAAAAATAAGGCAGGACAAAATTTTTTTTATAGTGTTTCTTTCTATGTTGAATTAAATGTTACACTACTGTTTCAGGTTAGGCTGAAGTGTGCGCCTGTTAAAACGTTTAAACCCGCTGCATTTGTTTACACCTGTCCTAAGTCAGGAGCCTGTTGTTCGGTGGTTGTCGTTTGTTGATGTGGTTCATAAGTGTTTCTCGTTTCTCGTTTTTTTTACAGATTAGACCGTTGGTTTTCCTGTTTGAATTGTTTTACACTAATCATTTTGGGGCCCTTTATAGCTTGCTGTTCGGTGTGAGCCGAAGACTCCGTGTTGAATGCTGTACTTTGACCTATAATTGTTTACTTTTTACACATTGTGACTTGGATGGAGAGTTGTCTCATTGGCACTCATACCATATCTTCTTATTTCTATATAGATCATATGATCAAATACATGTATAGACTGGTAGTAATTTTTTGATGTGAATGAATAACATCTTTGCATAGTTTATAATAGCTTTTAGACTCTTTTTGTACAATTCCTGTCTTGAATGAGAGAAGATCGACCACTGATGCAGAAAATATAAGACCTATACTTATAGTCCTATACACATTCCAGATCAACTTGCTGTAGAGTGAATTTTTGCTTGATAAATCTACTCTGTTTATTAAATACTAAATTTTTGTTTTATTGGTGTTTATGTTTAAGCACCAATCAGAACAAAACTTATCAACATTTTTTAATTTAGATTGAGGACCATCTGATGTGTCAGAGAGCAAAACAATATCATCTGCATACATTAAACAGTTAATATAGACTAAGTATCACCCAGGGTCAGATCATCAGCCTCATTATCAATATTATGATAGAAAGTCGTTTATAAAAAAAATTGAAAAGATTACGGGTTAGGTTATCACCTTGTCGTACCCCTAATTTAACTCCAAATAAGTCGGTTAAAATTTTCCCAGCTTTTATACAAGTTGAACTAACATTGTACATATTCTTTATAAATTATTAATGTTGTAAACTTTCCCTCCTAATCCTATCTGTAATAGTTTATATTTAATACCACTATGTATCACTGAATCAAACGCCTTTTTAAAATCAATGAAGCAGGCATACATTTTTTTACCTGAAAAAAATACTGAATCAACCAGATTCTTAAGCAAACACATATGGTCACAGGTTCTTGACTTTTTTTTACAAAGCCAATTTGGAACTCAGTAATTAGACTATTTTGTAACAAATATTTGTCAAGTCTAACATTCAAAATTGTATTAAAAGTTTACCAATTGCACATGTAATTGAGATGCCTCTGTAATTTGAGAGATCAGTTGGGTCCCCCGACTTAAAAGGGGTTAAGAGTATTCTTCAGCCCAGCATTCTGGATATTCTCCTGTGCTAAGACATAAATTAGATAATTTTCCATAACATGGAACTAAACTATCAGCACTTGCCTTTAGCATTTCATTTGTTTTAAAATCCAAACCATAAGCTTTATTGTTTTTCAGCTTTTTAAGTATTTCAGTATTAGTTATTGCAAAATCAAGTTCAGATGAAGTGGTGTGTTTCTCAATACTTTCTACTAATTTTTCGATATATCGATATATGTTTATTACGCTTTTTGAATCTATTATCTAAAGAATTAATTGACTTAAAATGATCTAACCAGATATCAGCAGATATCTGATTCTTTGAGTTTTTTTTAACTAGATCCCAGTAGACCTGTGGATTATTACACTCTAAATTATCTGATTTAAAATGTCTTCTCTTAATTTTCTGCTTTTGTTATATTGTCTCAACAATTTATAAAATCTACCATGAATATAAGGATCATTTGGATATTTAAAATATGAATCTGCATAGGATACATTTTTTCTCATTTTTCTAAGGTCTATATCAAAAAACTTTTTATTTTTTTTTTTTTTTTATCTCGATTTTTTTTTATGAAATAGGTCGCCTCAAACATTTTTCAGAGGCTGGTAATAAAATTTCATTAATATCAGAGCTGTTATCAAAATGTGAAATAAGATTTTTGCTGTCTTTATCTTGCATAGCTGATTGAAAGGCCTGAGGAGAATTTTCCTGCCACTTGAATTTACTACCCATATATATAACTTTAGAATTCTGCTGTGGATTTATGTCAAGGAAATGATGGCTAAGAATTTTCCATGATAACTTACAGTGACAGTCACTTAAAGTTAGATTAAAAGTTGATACATTAAAATATAAAATGTTTTACAACAAACTGTCTGAAGCAAGTAAATATTTGACAACACTGGTACCCATGTGATTATAGCATGTATATTTTCCTAACTTAGAATCACCCAAAGTTCTAGCATTTAAAAAACGAATTTGGTTACCCACGCATAATTCAATCAAGCATCAATTGTTGTATCCCTGCTGTTTCGAACATTCAAACTGAAATCAATTAGATAATCGTCATTACTAATTGAAAGATGATCTGCACTGTCCGAGGACAAAATGTCTAATAGATTTCCACAACGTGCATTAAAATCCCCACATAGTAGGACATCTCCTTTAGACTTAGAATGTGCTATGTCCTTTTCTAACAACTGAAGTATATCAGTAGACAAATTTTTAGTATAAATGGATTAATTTGGTCTGGTGGATTATGTGCTAAGCATAAATATAAATCATGATTAAAGTTAAAATAAGATTTATCAAATTTCATCCACTGAAAGTCTTTTTGTGAGTTTAAACTAGAAAAGAAATATGAGGTTTGAGAGCCTGTTTGATAAATATAGCTAACCCTCCAAAATATCTACCGTTGCCAGAAATGGGTCGATAAACAGGGTAGTATTTATAACCATCTTTAGAGAGGGGGTATTATAACCTATGTGTGTTTCTGCTAGGAGAATGATATCATATTCTACATGTCCTATAGTTTTTTGTTATAACAGTCAAAACTGCAAAAAACTGTAAAAATCTATATTTCTGTGATGTAAAATTTTCAGAGAAGATTGATCTTGTCATGCTGATCAATTTTGTATATACACTTTGAATCTAGCTCCTATAGAAAAAAAAACAGAAATAAAATTTAAAAATTGGAAAATTGAATATTTTAGGGGCAATAACACTAGAACAGCTTGACAGATTGTTCTGAAATTTTTAGGATCTCGTCATGCTCATCAGTTTTGTACATACACTTTTAACCTTGCTCCTGCATTTTTTACAAACACTGCAAAAATTGGGTATTTATGGGGCAATAACTATAACATGTATAAAACAGGTGGTCATATTTTTTTTTCTAATTTCCAGTGTAGATCTTGTCATGCTGATCCTTCTTAGCTCACCTGGCCCAAAGAGCCAAGTGAGTTTTTCTCATCACTCAAGGCGTTCGTCGTCCGTCGTCGTCGTCTGTTAACTTTTACAAACATTTTCTCTGAAACTACTGGGCCAAATTTAACCAGACTTGGCCACAATCATCATTAGGGTATCTAGTTCAAAAAATGTGTCCGATGACCCCGCCTGCCAACCAAGATGGCCGACATGGCTAAAAATAGAACATAGAGAAAAATGCAAGTTTTGTCTATTATTACGAAAACCGTTATAAATAGAGAATGCGTTTTGCCTTATATAATAAAGATTATAATAGATAAAAAGACACTTTAAATCACAAAATTTATCAGCAAGGCAAGATCTACTAACAAGTCAAATTTTGTCGATATAGTTAGTATAGATTGTCACTCTTTATAGAAGTGATTGCCCTTAAGTGAGGATTTTTCTTACCCTCTATTGTGTTTGTAGCAAAAACTAAAGAAGATAGAGAGAAACTAAACAAACATGATTATCAGCAATACAAGATCAACAAAACAGAGATTTTTGTCATGAATTCTATTCTCGGCTACAATGTTGGAGAGTGTCCTTTGTTGAATATGCACATAGACCAAGGTAACCTAGCTTTTATAGTTTTCGTGACAAAAGCCAACAACTGTTAAAAAATGGGGGGGGGGGGGCAATATTTCAGGGGCAATAATTCCGTAACAAGTGGCTAGATTTCTCTCCAATTTTCAAGGTGACTACATCTTGTGGTACTGATTTTTTTTTTTAAATTTTTTACAAATTAAGTTTAAAAGATGAAATTTGTTGATATGGTCATAATTTTGTCTTGGTCACCTGAAATGAAATGCAATATTTGACTTATGTTGTTCGATTGCCCAGGAAAATGTTAAACCTAGCTAGCTTCTATAGTTTTCGAAAATATGACAAGGAAATTTAAAAAACAAAAAATCAACATTTCAGGGGCAAAAATTCCAAAACAAGTTGTCAGATAATAAAATTTTGTGGGTAGATAGAACTTGTTTTGCTGATCATTTTACCGATCATTTTTTTTCTAATTGCTACAGTTTTAAAGATATCAGCCAAAACTGTAGACTGATCCCTTATGTTCTATTTTTAAACATGATGGCAATGACAAAAATCTCAAACTTTATAGTTGACATCCTACAGATCAACTACACAAACCTTGGTTTTAATCCACTGAGCATTCAGTGGAGAAGATTTTTAAAGAAAAAGTTATGGACAACGGAAACAGATGACGGACAATAAAAACACGATGGACGACAGACGCAAAGTGGTGGCAAAAGCTCACATGGATGTTCAGACCAGGTGAATACAAAATGGATGTGTCATGGCAATAACTCAAAAACAGGTTGACATAATTTTCTCCGATTTATAGGGATTGATATATTTTTTTGTGCTGATTCTTTTTGTGATTTACTTTATACTCTTCTCTTATATATATTCTCTTATATTTTTCATGATAACAGCCAACAACTGCTAAAAATTGGAAGAAGTCGATATTTCAAGAGTAATAACTCCAAAATGAGATTTTTTCCAATGTTTAGGGTGGATACATCTTGTCATGCTGGTCATTTTTGCAATTTACAGTCTTAGCCTAAATCCTATAGTTTTTGGAAAGAAAATGTCCAAAAAAGTTGAAAATCAACATTTCAGAGACAATCACTCCAAAACAGACAACGGATGACAGATGATGGACGAACAACTGACAAAAAGTGATGACAAGAGCTCACATGACCCTTTGGAATAGGTGAACTAAAAATGACAAAGTTCAAATATCTGTCATTTGTAAATCAAAATACTGATAATATGAACACCTTTAGTAAATAAACCCTTCATGATATGTAAGTTTTAGCTTCAAACCTGTAGGTGGAATTAGCCGTACAAATAATGTACTCTGCATGCTTAAATATTACAAAAAAATGACAAAGTTAAACAGCCTGTCATTTGTAAAAAAAATTATGAAATTCAAATTCCTAATACATATAGACCTTTTATATATGTGCTACACCCTACACAATATAAAACTTCTAACTTGAAAACTGTGGGAAGAGTTAGCCAGACATATCAATTACCCAGCATTCCAATTCTTACCAAAAAATGACCAACAACCTTTTACTTGTGGAAAATTTCAAGAAAATCAAAATCCTGATAATATGCAATATGTAGTATATGTTTTTACAAATAACATAGTGTAAAAGTTCTAACTTGAAAACTGTAGGAGGAGTTAGCCTGACAAACCATAATAATATGTGGGATGGACAGACGGAAGGACGGACGGACAGACACACGGGGCTTAAACAATATGCCCCCTGACATTTTGTGGCAGGGGTATGCAAAACGTCATTTAGGACCAATCAGATAACACAATGACAAATGGTGGCCTTTGCTTATTCTCTATAGAAAGGGATGCAAGTATTAATACCACAAATAGTACGCCTAGTAAGATAAATGGGGAATGTATCCATGGGACACAGATGATGCCCCCGCTTGCATATAAAGTTACAAAGGGACATAACTCAAGAACAGTAAAAGTGACGCTATCCAAATTTATACTTGATCTGAGTTTTGTGGTATTAAGCATTGTGTATAAGTTTCATAACATTTGGTTGAGGCAAACTTAAGTTATAGAACGGAAACGAAAAATTCAGCAATTTTTCCATTTGTAAAGGAACATAACTCTAGAACGGTAAAAGTGACGCCACAAAAATTCAAATTGATCTGTGTTTTGTTGTAGTAATCATTGTGTATCAGTTTCATAACATTTGGTTGAGGCAAACTAAAGTTAGAGAACGGAAACGCAAAAATTCAGCATTTTTTCCAGTTGTAAAGGGGCATAATTCTTGAACGGTAAAAGTGACGCCACCAAAATTCAAATTTGATCTGTGTTTTATGATAATAATCATTGTGTATAAGTTTCATAATATTTGGTTGAGGCAAACTAAAGTTAGAGAACGGAAACCAATTTTGGGACGTACGGACGGACGGACGTGCAGACGGACAAGGGTAAAACTTAATGCCCCCTCCACTACGGCGGGGGCATAAAAATACGTCTTAAATGAACATCTATTTAGTTTTTCTTTTATTCTAGTTGCTCCTTAACCTAATAAACACATTTTCAGTTTTATCTTTTGTATGGATTGGCAACAGATATCTTAAAGAATGAAAGACTAACAAACTCCCAAAACTTTTATTAGCAAAAAGAGACCACTCTTTAATGACAGCAAAAATTATGGTCATATCATTGTAACCTATGTGTGACTATGTCAACTTTTTTATAAATGCATATGTAATTTGAATGACATACAAATGTATCAAATGTTGGTAACATCAAATTTAAGAACTATTTACCACAAACAGTGATTTTTGATGAAAAAGTATTCTTTAGTTGCAATTAAGTTTAGAAATTGCATACATATACATATGGCTAAACAGAAGAACAAACATGGATGTTGTCGTTACTCAAGTGAAAGCTGTTGCTTTAAAATGTTGAAGACATTTCATTCTTTTAAGCTTGCTCTTCCAGATTGACATCTTTGTTTTTTCTGCTGAAATCATTTGTTTAGAACAAAATTTACATTTTGAGAGCAAAAAATCATATTTGAAACTGTTTTTGGAGACTTTTGAAAAACTGATATTTACTTCGGCCAATTGGCCTCAGTGAATATCAGTTTTTTTCAAAAGTCAACAGAAACACATATTAACCTCATCAAAAGACAGTAATTGCATTATATGCAATGTTGACTTTATTCTAAGACCATGAACGCATATAATGGAGTAAACAGTTATACACTCTATTGTATACACCCTACACACAAGTATACACTCTATTTTATACTCCCTACATACAAGTATACACTTTATTGTATACTCCCTACACACAACTATACAAAAAATTAAGTACTTGTAGTCTTATACAGATTATTCTAACATGAGAAAATTCTATGTCAGCCTAAATATTTCTTCTATTAAGAATCACCATTGCATTTTTTTCTTTTTTATTGATATTAAAGACAAAAAAGTTTAAAAAAATAAGATAATCATACCACATCTCCTTATTTTTATAGGTGTCTTAATGGCTTCAGATAATTTTTTCTTATTAATGCCCACATCCTCAAGAACAGTGTCAAAAGGAAGAACAAAAATGAACATTTGTTTGAACTTTTCTTTTGTTTAAAACTGCAAATGGTGTTTTGAAATACGATTTTACTTCTTTAATTTGTTTTGTATTTTCATAAGACATTAGCGCTCAACATGTATAATTTTCAGTAGTGTACACCAAAAAGCAAGTTGAAGCTAATGTCAGTTTTAGATTGTTGGATTGATATCTTTTTAAAGTTCTGTACAAATGAAGAATTATATATCTTTGTTTAAACAAAAAAAATAACACCATTCTTTAAAAAAAAGATCAGACATTAAACAAAAACGAGTTCATCATAAAATGCATAATAAAAGCAGTTATAAAAAATGCTGAGCAATTAAACATTAACTAGAAGCAAAACAAAAATTCTGTTATTAAGCAAACAAAATAAATTTTAACAGTTTTCATCATAAAATCCATAAGTGCAAACACATCATGCAGATCAAGATGTATAACACAATTTTACATACTTGTGAAGATCCACTTAGGATTTATAAAGGAGATATGAACTGCTTATATCAAAACCTTTCAGGCATTCCCTGGCCACATTACAATGCACTGACTGTGTATGTGCAACACACTTTTTTTACCGACATTAATATCATAAAAATAATGAGAGGCTCTGATGGGTTAATACTATTCATCAAGTAAAAAAATGTACAACTATTTTATGAAGCATTGATTCTTCAATTTGTGGGTGCTACAAACTTGCTCTTGTAGAGTGACATCTTTTTTTTTTTTGCTGACAACATTTGTTAAGAACAAAATTTAAATTTTGAGAGCAAAACATCATATTTGAAACTTTTGAATAACTGATATTTACTGCGGCCAATTGTCCTCAGTGAATATCAGTTTTTTCAAAAGTCAACAAAAGCACATATTAACCTCATCAAAAGACAGCAATTGCATTATATGCAATGTTGACTTTATTCTAAGACCATGAACACATATAATGAAGTAAACAGTTATACACTCTATTGTATACTCCTTACATACAACTATACAAACAATTAAGTACTTGTAGTCTTATACAGATGATTCTAAAATAAGAACTTCTATGTCAACCTACACATTTCTTCCATTAAGAATCACCATTGCATTTTTTCTTCTATTAATTTTAAAGACAAAACATGTTTTAATAAACAAGACAATCATACCACATCTCCTTATTTTTATAGGGTAACTTAATGGCTTCAGATGATTTTTCTTATTAATGCCCACATCCTCAAGAACAGTGTCAAAAGGAAGAACAAAAATGAACATTTTCTTTTGCTTAAAACTGCAAATGGTGTTTTGAAATACGATTTTGCTTCTATAATGGGTTTCATATTTTCATAAGACATCAGCGCTCAACATGTACATTTTTTTGTAAGTGTACACCAAAAAGCAAGTTAATACTAATATCATTTTTAGATTGTTCGGATTGTTCGATTGATATCATTATAAAGTTCTGTACAAATGAAGAAAAATATATTTTTGTTTAAACAAAAACTTATAACACCATTCTTATAAAAAAAATCAGACATTAAACAAAAACGAATTCATCAAAAAATGCATAATAAAAGCAGTTATAAAAAATGCTGAGCAATTAAACATTAACTAGAAGCAAAACAAAATTCTGTTATTAAACAAACAAAATAAATTTTAACAAATTTCATCATGAAATTCATAAGTGCAAACACATAATGCAGATCAAGAGGAATAACAACATTATACATACTTGTGAAGACCCACTTAGGATTTATAAAGGAGATATGAACTGCTTATATCAAAACCTTTCAGTCATTCCCTGGCCCCATTACAATGCACTGACTGTGTATGTGTAACACACTTTTTTTACCGACATTAATATCATAAAAATAATGAATTTTCTGATGGGCTAATACTATTCATCAAGAAGCAAAATGTACAACTATTTTATGAAGCATTGATTCTTAAATTTGTGGGTGCTACAAACTTGCTCTTTTAGAGTGACATCTTCTTTTTTTGCTGACATCATTTTTTTTGAAAAAAATTCATATTGTGAGAGCAAAAATCATATTTTAAACTGTTTTTGAGACTTTTGAAAAACTGATATTCACTTCGGCCAATTGGCCTCAGCGAATATCATTTTTTTCAAAAGTCAACAAAACCACATACCGTATTTAGTTGAGTATAATATGTACTTTTTTATCCCAAAAATGTAGTTGGTAGATGGGATGTGTATTATACACAACTGTAGACGGTTTTTGTTTTTTGTTATTTGTTTTTTTTTTTTTTTTTTTTTTGTTATTTGTTTTTTTTTTTTATTATTTCGTTTTTTGTCATTATTATATATATATATTCAAGTCATTTTTCATTTTATCTATTTATTTGTATTTTTTTCATAACGTTTTTTTTCCTTCATTATTAAATATTCAAAGAACAGGTGTGACATCCTGCATGAGTGAGCTGAAATGGTAATTAAGGATTAAGTGTGGGTGTGTCGCAATTGAATATTCATGTCAACTTTTGACAGGTGTTCAATGTAGTTACCTCAGGGAGTGCTCCAAACCAACATGATCAATGAAAAGAAAATATAGAATTAAAGAATTATAAAATTTTAATTACTGCTAATCAATTTAGATAAATGTTTGAGCTCTAATTTCTTTTGTTCCATAACATTCCAATTATTTCTTTTATAATATTTGAACAATGCATCAGCTTCGACAAGATAAGACAAACATTGATTTCAAAAGGGATCTTTAATTATTAAATTAATAAAATGTTAATTACATGATAAAAGCTCTACCATTTTATTGTTTATGACTTTTAATTATCAAATTAAACAAAAATTATTACAAAAAAACATTTGATTGAGCAAACAATCTTACATATTATATTATTATCTTTCAATAGACTTAAATGAAGATTAAATAATGGTTCAACAGTTTCCTATCAAAGGCTTTTTACAGTGAACTAAACTGTTTTTTTTCTATTTTTTTTACTTAAAAAAAAAAAAATTTTTTGACTAGACTTTTTTTCACGATTTTGAGGGGACGAAAAGGGGGTGCATATTATACAAAGCTGCGTTATATACAAGACTAAATACGGGGGTATTTGCCTCATCAAAAGACAGTAATTGCATTATATGCAATGTTGACTTTATTCTAAGACCATGATCACATATAATGAAGTAAACAGTTATACACTCTATTGTGTACTCCATACACACAACTATACAAACAAATTTAGTACTTGTAGTCTTATACAGATTATTCTAAATAAGAACTTCTATGTCAACCTACATATTTCTTTCATTAAAAATCACCATTGCAGCATTTCTTTTTGATTAATTTTAAAGACAAAAAATTTTTTAATAAACAAGACAATCATACCACATCTCCTTATTTTTATAGGGTATCTCAATGGCTTCAGATAATTTTTCTTATTAATGCCCACATCCTCAAGAACAGTGTCAAAAGGAAGATCAAAAAGAAAAAAAAATGTTTGAACTTTTCTTTTGCTTAAAACTGCAAATGGTGTTTTGAAATACGATTTTGCTTCTTTAATGGGTTTTATATTTTCATAGGACATTAGCGCTCAACATGTATAATTATTAGTAAGTGTACATCAAAATCAAGTTAAAGCTAATATCAGTTTTAGATTGTTGGATTGATATCTTTTTAAAGTTCTGTACAAATGAAGAAAAATATATTTTTGTTTAAACAAAAACTTATAACACCATTCTTATAACAAAATTAGAAATTAAACAAAAACGAATTCATCAAAAAATGCATAATAAAAGCAGTTATAATAAATGCTGAGCAATTTAACATTAACTAGAAGCAAAACAAAAATTCTGTTATTAAACAAACAAAATAAATTTTAACAGTTTTCATCATGAAATTCATAAGTGCAAACACATAATGCAAATCTAGAGGTATAACACCATTATACACACTTGTGAAGATCCACTTAGGATTTATAAAGGAGATATGAACTGCTTATATCAAAATCATTCAGGCATACCCTTGCCCCACTACAATACACTGACTGTGTATGTGTAACCTTTTTTTTTTACCGACATTAATATAAAAATGATGAGAGGCTCTAATGGGCTTATACTATTCATCAAGAAGCAAAATGTAGAACTATTTTATGCTGCATTGATTCTTAAATTTGTGGGTGCTAACGAATTAGTCTTTTAAACATCTTCATCTAATGATACTTATTGGTTACGAAAATAACTGATCTTTAAAATCTTTATATTTTTAAGGCAGTCTTATTTCCCTTCCAATAAACTTCTTATCATGAGCATTTTCTATGCAACACATAATAAAACACTTTATATAAAAATTTCTAAAAAGATGACTTTTTTTTATTAAATAAGTGAAAAACCTCAACTTTGAATTCTAAACTACTAATTCAAAAACCTTTTTTTCAACAAATTTTGATTTACAATGGTCGAAGTTTGGGTTGGAAGGTATGCATCATTACAAGCAAATTCAAAAGGACAATCACAAAACCATATTATAATATTTGTCGCAACATACTACAGATTTTCTGAAGAAAAAATACAAAACTGAGGTTTATTCCTTTTCTCCTATTTGTCAAAATGGTATCAACACCAAATAGGATTTCAATTCTGTTCTTTAAAAATAGTCATAGAAACTATAATGGCTGTAAATGACCATCTCTATAAATAAATTTGATTTCGTCTACGTCTGCTGCAAAGTAACCAACCAGATCTTTTTCAAATTTATATATCTAATGATAGACACCAGTTACTTCAAGGTCAACTTAAAAAGCCTACTATTTTACTCTATTGGAAACAAAAGCTGCACTAATAAATATGATAATAGACTCATAGAAAATATAACAACAACTTTCTATATATCTTGTTGTGTCATGATATGAATAAAAGGAGATGTCCGGTATACATAAATAGGAAATGAACCCAACAAAATAAAAAGAAACAAAAACAACTTTAGGCCAACCAACACGCATCGACAATAGACAGATGTCTACTATAAAATATACCAAGCTCACACTGATAGTCATAAATCATTTCTCAGTTTTTTTTACATTTTAGAAAAATAATAACATAAATTGTTTTGGTATACACATATGCACTTTAACGGTACTACAATCTGTCAACTCATAGAAAATATAACAACATTTTGGCATTGCACAAAGTCATGTTTTTCTATGACTGTTAACGACGTCTTTACACTAAATCCATTGGATGTTGGATGTGTAGTGATTTATGCTTTAGTCTTAGATACAAAATTTTTTTTTATTAGTTGTTATTGGCTTTCAACTAGCTGTCAGTAACTGAGAGTACTCTCAGATCTGTACTTAGTGTGCTTTTTGTTGATAGGGATTAAGGATGGATACATACCCTGCCCCGTTTGGTCTGTATTTATGTTTGATGTTTTTCTGCTTAGTATCGATCTGATGAGTTAAGCCTTTTTCAACTGATTTTTATAGTTTGTTCTTATGTTGTGCTGTGACACCACTGTCCGAGGTTAGGGGAGGGTTGAGCGCTCAAAAACATGTTTAACCCCGCCACATTCTTTATGTGCCTGTCCCAAGTCAGGAGCCTGTAGTTCAGTGGTTTTCGTTGGATCATGTCTGTCATATTTGTTTTTCGTTAATCGTTTTGTTATAAATTAGGCCGTTAGTTTTCTCAATAGAATTGTTTCGTATTTTTCGTGTCGGGGCCTTTTCTAGCCGACTATACGGTATCGGTTTTCTCACTGTTGAAGGCCGTACGGTTGCCTATAATTGCTAACATCCACTTTATTTGAACTTTGGTGGATAATTGTCTCATTGGCAATCATACCTCATCTCCTTATTTTTATATATGATCATTTACTTGAGATTTAATGGAAGACTGTGAGGTCTGCTCCTTGTTTTTCATTGACTTAATAAACTGATCAAAATCAAAATAGGATGAGCACAATTTGACCTCTGTGAGGAATCTTTGCAATTTCGCTTTTTTTTTTTCTCAGGCACTTTAGACCGAGTTGTTCTCTTTTTACTGTGACTTGACTATGGGTGTTACTATTTACCTGTACCTATTGTTCAACCAGATTGAAACATTGACAATACAATAGGGACATTTAAATTGACCAGTTGGTATTGTTAGATTTAAATCTACCTTGATGCTACCTGTACAGTTTTTTATTCACCTAACCCAAAATTTCAGCATGCTTTTTTCATGAAGTTTTTCTTGACCTAGGATTATTCTTTCAAAAAATTGAAAGGGTAGAAATATTTTTGGTTTTCATTGTTTTAAATCCCCAGTATTGATAATATTTCTAAAATTTACCAAAAAATCTTAATCAGTAAAATATTTTATCAATTGCATATTAATATGTATGAAAATTAAAACTGTTTTTACATAATAAATTATTCTTTAAATTTTTAACCCTCATACATAGTATTGTCCAGTTGTCAGTGAAACAAGAAAGAGCTATCTAGGTGTTTTAAGTTTCAATTTTCAGATGGATTATATGTTGTGCATTTCTTTATAATGTCCCTTCAAGATTTTCATTTTGGATTATGATATTTGAAATATTTGAAATCTATTGGAATCAATGTGCATGACATATTGGATTCATTTTATTTAAATTCACTTCTCAGATGCCTTTTTATAGTAATTTTGCTTCATAAAATGTGACTTGTTTTTTCGAAGAATGGATTGTCATGAAGGTATCAAGAAGGAATTAATTCATTCAAAATGTGTTGTGTGGCTTTAAAATGATGATGTACATGTAAAATTCATAATGATATTGGAGTATACCTTGCAGTATTTTTCTTTGAAATCTATTATAAGAGGACTTTTGTGCAAAACATACTGTGTTCACTCAAGGAAATTCAATTTGCATAATATGGATTAAGTTATCTAAAAGGTTATAAAAAGTCAAAACTTGAATGCAAGAAGGAGAAATAATTTCAACATGTGTCTGTGGCTTTAAATGCAATTTTGAAAACATTCATTATAAATTTTGGGATATATTATAAGAGTGATTCACCTGTTTAAATGGGATATATATCATGGAAATGAAACAAAATGTTAAATTCATATAGTGGATATAGTCTAATGTAGTGATAAAGTGAAAAGAAAAAGTAAAATATTCCAAAATATTCCTAACGTTTGGATAACGTGAATGTGAAATTGGAAATAATCATTATAAATTCTGGATCTAATATTGTTTAATTGGAACATATACTTTGGTAAATGAAATAAAAACTCAATACTGTGGATATAGTAAAATCAAGTGATATAGTGAAAATATATGAATAAACTTATCCAAAATATTTGTGAAGTGAGAATAATCATTTTAAATATGATAATGGAAATTATCAAATATTGCAAAATTCTGTACCTGATTTTGGGGATATATATCATGGGAAATTAAACAGAATATGGATATAGAGAGAAAATATAGTTATATAGTGAAAAACGTAAACAAATATTCAAAAACTTTCATAAAATTAGGAAAATGTTATAAATTATTTCAGATAAAGAAAATGGAATACTGGATGAGATGTAAAATATCAGTGTCAATATTAGAGTAAATAAAATAGTTCATTCAAATATGATTTTGATATTTCAATATGAATATGCATAAACAATTTGTACTAGGAACATGTCAATAAGTGTAAAAACAAATGTCTAAAGGAAGGAATGCACACTGTTGTTCTGGTGTTTATTAATCCTGGAAATAAGTCAAGTAGTTCAGATTTACAGAGAAGCAAAAACAAACTATTTTGAGTTATTTCCCATTAGAAAAAACCAAAGAGATATTAAAAAGGTTTTTTTTTCAACAATATACAAGAAATCCAAGCACTCATAGTATTTGGCTATGAAAACATTAAGAGGAAATGTAGTGAATTATACGACATGCAATTAAATTCCCTGCAAGAAAATCAAGGTCTTGATCTGGCTTGCTTACTTCTAAAATTTTAAATGACAGTAAAATAAAAATCTGTTTTTCCTTCTAAATGTTGTGTTTTTTTGGCATTTGTATGACCAATTATTTCAGGAACAACATCCATTTCAATAACAAAAAGACTAATAACAATGTTTATTTCTTTACCTGTTTTTGGATTCTCTAATAAAAAACATGAGAAAAGGATTTTTTTTATTAAATCCGCAGTTTTTAGTAAATATAAGAACATGAAATAAGTTTGCGTCTAGTTATCATATATAAGTGGTCATATTCTAGCATTATTCATACCATATAAACTAATTTAGACTGAATGCATATTATGTTATTCAACAAAGATAAAAATTGCAGCCTTGATGCCATATTTATAAATTTTGAAAAACCTAACTCATTTATACTACAACAGTAACAATTAAACAGGTGAAGTGATAGGACAGCATCCAGGTAGACTCTAAATTAAAGTACATGAGTGATCAAAAATATTTTCTTCCCTTTCAATTTGTTTTAAAGAATAATCCTAGGTTAAGAAAGACTTCAGGAAAAAGCATGCTGAAAGTTTTGGTTAGGTGAATAAAAATCTTTACAGGTAGCATCAAGGCAGATTTAAATCTAACAAAACCAACTGGTCAATTTAAATGTCCCAATTGTATTGTCAATATTACAATCTGGTTGAACAGTAGGTACAGGTAAACAGTAACACCCATAGTCAAGTCACAGTAAAAACATTGACATCTTTGGCTGATGGAAGTTTACAGAAATCAATGCGATAAATAATTAAAATAAATTGGTGCATAAATTAACTTCCTGTTTAAAAGTCTGTTCTTATTTGGTTGGTTTTTGTCAATTGGTGTGAGAGGAGCAGGCAATTAACAAGGTTACAGATAGTGATGCATTGTGTCAACTCTGCTATGCAAGTGACACATGCACAATAATAAGAGACTATAGTAAATGCAATAAACACAATGCTAAGCAATGGCAAGATAAATTCAAATATAGTTGATGTATGTTTAATTAATTTATATTTTCTAATCCTATTTATCATTCATCAAGAAAAAATAATCACTCTGATGAAAACAAATTATTTTTGTTAAAATGTAGGGGTTAATTAAAATCTGTTTCAATGCCAACGGAACACATGCAAGCTATTTCAAATAAATTTCTTTCTATAACATTTTTAGTTGTCAATTGAATGAAAAAGTTTGACCACGAATCATTATGGAAAACTCACAACTTCAAATAATTACAGTATTTGAGCAACACTAGTGTGAGTTAACAAGACTGGAAACTCAAGTGGCAATATAACGATACCAGCACTATGTAATAACACCAGTGTTGTGTATGTTTGAAGAGTCAAGACCCAATTTCAAACAACAACACAAACTTAGGTTGTCTACAGCCCACAAATAACCAAATAAATCATTACTCTAATGAACAGATTCCTCTTAGTTTGGTAAATAACAATTACAATCTTGGGTTCTGTTCTCTTATTTCCGACAACTGTGAACTTTCGACCTGCTGATATATTGTTCTGTCAGATACAACTTCTTTTGTCATTTTTTCAACTTCCTCTATAGTTTCAGGTAGAGGTCGCCTGTGTGTTTCTGGCAAGAAGAAAATTAAAACTCCACCAACAATGGTCAACACACCAAATACTACCAATGGCAGCTCTTTTAAAGATGTTGCCTGTAAGAAAAATGTAAGTTACAATAATCATTTTTTTTCTTCAGATTTTTAAATGAGTGATAAGTCTGGTTTTCAACTTTAAGCGATACAATATTTTGAAACAGATGTAATTTTTAATCCATCATCATTTAAACTTGTACAAGCAAAGGACCACATTGAGTAAAATCAATGGATATTGAAACCAGTAGTTTATATGTGACAACTTTTTATTATTTTCCCAACTTTGTTGAACCAAATCTTGCAATGGCACATCTTGAAAAGATTATGGATTCGTAGATAGTCATTAGTATTCTTCTTTCAATGCAATGTTTCTGGTTGCTTATTTTCACCATCTGCATGGTTTTCTTGTTCCACTGTAACGTTATAAGATAGAAAAGTGTACAAAAAATGATCAATGATAAAATAAGACAAAAAGTTACTACACTTAGATTAATTGTAACCCTAAAAATTTATAGTGATATAAGAACTGATCTATGAGCGAATGTTATTCAACAATAACAAATAATAATTGCAATATCAGTATGATTGATATATTAATTCATAAATTGTATATCCAATATGTCTCACCCCATAAACTATAAATGGAGCCACTATTCCACCAACATTCTCAAACAGTGAAGCTATACCAACTGCATGATTTCTGCAATAGATATTGATATGTCATAGGTATACATCTTGACTAAAACCTTTATATGAAATGGCCATTTATGGTCAAATATTTTAATTATGACATCATACTGATATCATAAATGTCATGTGTGCACTAAAAAGACAAGACCATATTAGTCTATTCAATCATAGTAAAACTATTTAAATTTGAGCAGACAGAATAAAACAATTTTTGTAATTTCTGCAACTAATTTATAGCGTTTTAACAAAAACTCTACCTTTATATATTCATACTAAAGATGACTATCAGTAATAATAATAGGGTTCATTGGTCAGCATACCATGAAGGGATGATTTACATGAGATATATGATCATATATACAAGGACAACATACACAGAGCAATTTCAATACAATTCTTTGAAAGCAACTGGATCAATTCCAATTCTAAAACTTTTTAGATTATATTCCAGTAAAAATCAATTTCATAGTTCTGGTTGTATATTTTGTTATGTCTTATGTTCGCTGTGGGAGACGACGTGGTTCGGTATTTATATATCACGCTTTCGGGCATTTTGTTGTTACTTTCTTATACGTGTGGGTCCGGTAGGTCATTTTGTGCTGAGTTGTTGTCTGTTTATTTCGTTTGTAGTTTGAATTCTGTATTTTCGGTACATTTCACATATGTCTTAGTTGTCAGTATAGTCGAGTAACTCGTGGTTCGTCTACAGGATTTTTGTTTTATAATGTTTGTTTTCATGTGTGTTTACTGTTTGGTCTTACACGATCTTGCCTTATATTACAGTTATTTTAATTTTTTTTTTCTATATGTATGTAATAGTTAAGATAAAAAATCAGCCACTTCATTTATATGATTTTAAGATTAAAGCAACTATATGCACAGGCTTTTTTTGTTTATACACAGTTTTTATTTAGAGGAAAAACCGACATGGTTAGAAAATACAAATAATAACACCATTACAAACAAAATTCCATTAAAAAAGAGAGGCGAATGATACCAAAGGGACATTCAAACTCAAAAGTCGAAAATAACTGACAACTCCATGGCTAAAAAAGAAAAAGACCAACAGACAAACAATAGTATGCAAAACACAACATAGAAAACTAAAGACTGAGCAACACATATTCTTGGTTATTTTATTTTTAGAAATTTACCTGTGACAATATAAACGTCACAAAAAAATACGTCACTTTTTGTGACGTTGATCCATTCATGTGACGCGCAGTTTATATTTCGTTTGTGATGTCCTGGTGTGCTGTCGTAAATTCATGGGAGGTGTCATTTGTTATTCTGCGGTTTACATGTTGTAATGAACTATTATATTATTTATATATGTATTTCTCTGTGCTGAGTGTTCTTGCTTTTGTTTGTACTGTATTCCTGTCACGTAGTGTTGTCATTTTAGCGGTATTTTTAACATTGCCATATAAGCGGGAGGTTTGGCTAGCCCTAAAACCAGGGTCAACCCACCATTTTTTCTTAAAATGTCCTGTACCAATTCAGTAATATGGCAGTTGTTATCAGACAGTCCGTTTCTATGTATGTTGGCGTTTGCTTTTGTTGTATTTCAGTGTTTCTGTTGTTCTGTAGTTTTCCCCTTATAGTTGATGTGTTTCCCTCGGTTTTAGTTTGTTGCTCGGATTTGTTTTTGCTTAATCGAATTAATACTATTGAAAAATGGTATACTACTGTTGCCTTTATTTACAGTGAATTATTTAAAAAAATTTGAAGAGCACTTAAAAATACATGCTTATTGAAGTATAATGAACAGTTATAAATTTCTTCATTAGTAATGACCTTAGTGAACTTAATTACGACTTATGTTTTAAAAAATATAAATCAATAAAGTTATCAATATTTAAAAAATCATTGTTATTTCTAAAAAAAAAAGGGGGGGATTATGTTTTTTTTTTTTTTTTTAAATAAATGCTTTTTGTACCTCCATCTTTTATGATGATGATGGATGGCTGTTTAACGTCCAACGGCAAATTGAGTGTGTATCAATGATGAGAACAGGTTAATGTAATATGAATATTAACCCTGCTTTGTACTAGACGAACACAAAATTTGCACAGCTTGTTTAGTTCAGACTGGTTCTTGCTATTCATAAAATCTGGAAATTTTAAAATACTTGTTCTGTGAAAAAAATGATACTTTAAAAGTATTTGTCTATTTTCATCTATTCAATTCCCCAATATCACTGGAATTACATATAGAACAAATATGGTTATCCCTCTGATTACTTTCTGATCTACCAATTAAAATTATAAACAAAAATTGTGTTCAAAGTTCTAAATCTACAAGAGGAAGCAATATTTTTGTTATCTAGAATATTGAAGTAGGTTTAAAAATTTAGACAATTTCGAATAATCTTTAATTTAGAGCTTTATATGAGAGTTCTGTAGAGAAGCATATCATGTCTGTCTTACCTAGTCAGTTAATCTTAATTTAACAGTATTATACAACCTGTTGCTACAAGTAAATATCTAGTGTTCCATATATTTGATAGTCCACAATTATCAAGCACTGATTTTACATTCTTACACCAGAAGACCGAGGTCGTTCCGTCATCTTCGAACATTAAAGGGAAACTTTGGGATTTTTGACTTATCATCTTAATATGTTCATAAAAACATTAAAAACATATTCATCAAGTTTTATCTTTATATGATCACTATTAAAGAAGAGAATGAAAAATTATCAATTTCATTTATTGGAATTTACCAGTCTATTGTGACGTATTTTTAGACTGGGGCATGTCGGAAGTGAAATCAATTTCATTTAAAGTCTTGTTCTCTTATAATGTTTTAGCTTAATTTAAAGGGCGTCGATGGCCGTTTTGCAAGCATATAACCAACTTAGAATAAGAAAATAAAACGAACAGATGCGCAACTTTTTCATTCATTAGTGAAAATTCCTATGGTTAAGGCAGATATAAATTTCTGATATTTTATAAATTAATAGTGCGAAAAGTGGATCGTATAATAATGTATTTTGTGAAATATTTGTTTACACGGATTATTGAACAAACATATATAACTGATACTGTGGTGACAATATATGTATTTTTTCTGACATTTTATTTCTAGCAAATATTTCCCCTCTTGGATGTGTAAATCAATACAATATGTATATTATTCTCTGACAATACCTCGTGAAGGAGTGGTTAATTCGCGGTAATTTAAAGATCGACTGTCTATAAATCTATTCTTTTGATCTTCACCTGAGTGCATTTTAGCCTCAAGCGTTTGCCGTTCCATGTGTGAATAACATCTCGGATGGATTATAAGACAGAAGTGCCAGTTTATTACACAAAGATAACAAAATATTTTAATATTCTCCTTTTTCGGGGGAAAGGGGATGGTAGCATTGATCGCCGTTAATTATTTCATTATTATTTAGTACGCTTCATTACAAATACATTATGACATTAAACATGTTTTCCGCATACCTGAACAATGTATAAAAATGTTATTATAATAATGATAAGAAAAGTTTGAATCGAAATAATGGATTAATTTAGAAATAAAATGGAATACTAACGTATACCAACTATGAAATTCAAATTTGTGTCTAGAGAAGTAAAAACTAGCATTTCAATAATTTGTTGAATCCGAGGCGCTTTTTACTACCTCATCGGGAACGCTCTATTCCCTCTATTCCAATTATTTAATACCTCGCCAAGTATAAATATTTGGTTTATATGACCTAAGGATGTTAAAAAATTTTGGAAACTATTTAAGATCAACTTTGCCAGATTTAAATGGAACTGAAAACAAAAGACAAATATAAGTTTAAATATAATTACGAATCTTTGTGTATTAAACTCGTGACCTGTCCGTCTTTTATAAGTCACCCAAATACTTTTTTAACAGAATGCCGATGGTTATTTCAATGTCTTGAATATTACTTTCAATTGGGACAGAAAGTTGTACACAGGATGTGTAAAGCACACCTGACAGTATTTGGTATTAGTACTGCAACCAGAGTTCATATTTTACAACTTGAATGTACTGGAAGAACACACACGCCTAAATTGTATATCGATGGAAAGAGGAAAATGTGTACAATAAGAAAAAATTGGTCGAAAAAACCCAGAGTTGTCACATTTTTGTGAAATTGAGGTCAAAGTTCAAACCTAAAAAAATCATAAATTCAACCATGAGGAAAAAAGAAGGAATTTTCAAAGATCTATTCGTAGAATGCTACAAAAACGATTTACTCACAAGCATATGCTGCAAATGATGTCAAAATGACAAATTTTACTATTTGTATGAAGAGCTGCCATTACAAAATTTTGAACATTCTGAATTTTCTCAATTTATAACATAGCAAATGTAGATGTGGCCTTGACCTTTTCACACCCATTAACTTTCACATTGCTTATTATTTTTCACTACAACATATAACAAGATTTATTTTCTAAAACGTTAAACACCAGTTAATCAAAATATTTCAGTATTTTTTTGTCAAATTCAATTTCAGTAATTTTTCTTCGTTTTACAAAAAAACAAATTTCAAACACTGAAACTATGTTTTTCAATTTTAATCGGAAAATAAGTATGTGGATATAGATAAATACATATCGTGTACTTTCAAAGTCAGACAGATTAGTTATAACATAAAACAAGAGGCTCTAAAGAGCCTGTGTCGCTCACCTAGGTCTATGTGCATCTTCAATAAAAAGTAAAATCACAAAAATACTGAACTCCGAGGAAAATTCAATCGGAAAGTCCCTAATCACATGGCAAAATCAAATGACAAAACACATCAAACGAATGGACAACAACTGTTATTAAATAATGGATACTCTCCATCTTTGTTGACTAGAATAGAATTCATGACAAACATCTCTTCTTTGTTGATCTAGATTTTTGCTTATTTAAGTTTCTATCTATCTAATATGGTTTTTCAGATATAAGGCAAACGGTTGATCAAAACCATCATTTATGGGCAATAACACCAATAAGGGGTCGTCAGACGATTTCAACTATTCAACTTATTTGTAGA